GGCACGGGCGTGGCGCAGAACGCAGCAGTGCCGGTGTAGTGTGCATCTATGAAGTAAGGACTCATCTGTAGTAATGCACATGCTTAAGTGAAGACTGTGAATGCTCAACCAATAAACGGGTAAAAGCTACCAGAATTTATAGGATTCAAACTCATGTGACACTGGAAAAAACTTGTTTAACGCTAGTTGGTGTTTTATCAAACAATTTAAAACCACCATGTGACTGGCTCTCGACAAATAAGTATAGCTAAACTGTCACTGGTATTTATTGATATGTATTTTTTTTGTCCTTGTCTGTGTAATATTGCCGACAAATAAAGTTGTCATATGTCGCTCTACTCCACATATTGTTTTTACTTGTAGGTCCCTGGTCAGTCTTGGCCTCAGGCCAGACTTTACAGTCCATATTATGGACTTGATCCAGAGTCTAACATGATTACGGTTTCACCTATCAACTCCCTACATGCCCAGTTGACAGGGATCAGATGTAGGTCAAAGTTGATCTTGTCAGATTTACTTAACACATGTGTTGGGGGTCCCATGGGGAGTGTCAAGAATTTCCTCTGACCCCCCCCCCCCTTCCCAGGTGTAACAACCACAGAATATTGGCAACCACTGTCCCTTGTTAAAGATACATACACTATACAACATTTGCTTTTGCTGTAATTTTCAGAAATGGATGGAATTGAGGGTTAGTATTTTATAGCAAATATTGTTACACTGACCTGTGTAAAGTTTTGTGTTCATAGATGCTGGAAAAACCAACAAACAAAAACATGCTGTTTTATAGTCTGGTTCCCTAACCCTACTTTCGACAAAACGGAGCAATTTATAGACCACATCAGATCAGGGAAGCAGACTACATGTAGCTGGCTTGCACCCGTTCAGGGATGTGTAACCCTATGGCAAACAAATATGGTAATTTGGGGGCAGTATTTGAAAAGTCACTTCTTTTTTTTCCAATGCTGCCGAGCCGCTGGTCGGCTGATCATCAACTTGGAAATGGATACAATTCCACTTTTCTTGAAAATGTCAGCACACCAGGTGCCATGATTACACAGGATGCTTTACTCACTTACAAAAGTTACAGTCAAGTAAGCTACGGTATTTCATAATGATTGGGTTTTTTTTTTTTTATGTTTGCACATGTATATGTGTTATATTACCTTTAACATTAAGGGATGGATTAGAAAGCTGCCTTACCAGTTTGCCGTTATCTGTGCCAAAGAAAAGTGCATATTGTTTGTAATGGTCAGGGATATTATATGTGTTACTAGGCCCGGAATGTTGATCTCAACTTATCGTGTGTCCATACACAAATACATCATGGGAGTGTAAACATTGTCGGACAATGTTAGATAAATAAACCATAATGGTTATCAAGGCGAGATGCTCTTCCTATCCCTGACCACAGTGGTCACAGTTACGTAAACGTCAGAGGAAGACGTAACTTGGTCAATAATGAGAATCAACACTCAACAGGTGGATATGTGCAAACTATGTATACATGGTGCAACATATACACAAATGATGTACGCCAACTGTATTCACATCGATGGTCAGGGAAAAGAAAAACAATTGTCAGATTTTGCAGTATACATGTAGTAAAGTTCATGTTATACCAGGGTTCGACTTCAGCAGTAGCCCGCTAGCCAAATGCTAGTCAAAACAGCGATGGGCTAGTCACACTATTTCTTATTAAGGTAGCCCGGCTGGTGGTAAAAAATTATTGGGAAAAAAATGTTGAAATCCGTGTATGTTGTTAAAGGGGATATCTAAAGGTTGCGCAATATCAGAGTGTTGATGTTCAATTGAGGGATTTTCCCTTTTTTTGTTGTAATGCGTACGTACATTTTAGTGAAGAACTTCAAACATGGCATTATAATGCGGTTCAGTTGCCTGCTGAATCCAACATTTTGCATGAGGAATGTACACAAGGGGTTTACTGCTCAATCCAACAGGCTCCATCGGGTATGTGACATAGTTGGATCCTGTTGGATTCAGCAGGGTTAGGGATATGGTCCATTCTACATTTAAAGGGAATATACATGTACATCATTTGCTTTTGCTGTAATTTTCAGAAATGGATGGAATTGGGGGGTTGGAAATATATAGCAAATATAGTTACACTGACTCTTTTGAGTTCGAAAATGCTAGAAAAACCAAGAAAAACAATCATTTTCCTGTAGTCTGGTTACGTGACTCCATATAAGAAGAAACAGAGCAATTTACATACATTAGGGAATTGTAAGGTCAGGGAACCAGTCTAGCTGGCTTGTACCCGTTCATAGGTATGTAATCGATTGCAAACAAGTGCGATGGTCAATTGGGGCCAGTATTTGAAGAAAAAAATACAGTTTTTTTCCAACGCTGGTCGGCCGACCAGCGTTGGAAATTGATACAAAAATACCACTTTTCTTGAAAATGACAGTATACCAGGTGCCATGATTTTACAGGATGCTTTACACTGTCATTCACTAACAGTCTAGCAAGGCATTTCAAAATGATTTGGTAGTTTTATTTTTTGATGTTTGCAAATGTTGTATTTTCCCTTTAAACTGCCAAAAAAGGAGCACATGGTTTTCATAGTTTTCATCGATTTGGGAAAGTATGCCAAGTGATACACCAGGGATTTAGAATTCGAGTAACTCATGTTCTGCCGATTAAGTCATTTCCATCTCTAAGCCCTATGTGACGCATTAGTCACCATACAGGGTCGCTACGGCTGGATGACATTAATTGCACATGAAATCACATGAATGCGGTGACCCATTTTATTTTCACAGCCGCGAGTGCTTTGAAATGCTCATGGAAAGCATTATGTATGTATGGACGTACCAGTACATGTGTGCATAATAGATGTTCCACGTATAATGTTATCCGGTGCCTGTTCCGGCTGTAAAATGTGTTTAAATAATATGCAATAAATAATCAATGGCAAAGAATTACATGTACATGTACATTCCATACACTACAGCCAAAAAAAATGTTCACGGTAACATCCTAAAAGTTGCAAATGTTGGTAGCTAGGAAAAATTATTTTTATTTAGAACTTTTTTTAATGGTTTTTTTTTTGTCTTTCACACTTGTTTTGATTACTTTAACAGTATTCCGTTCAAGTAACCTGTTTAACCTTCCTGCTATTTAAGCAGTCACAGACAGTCAAAATTTCCATCCACTTCCCCTGCTACACTTTTAACATATAGGTTAGTCACCAGCAGTGAGATCATATGTCGAGCAAGCACCGTGACTAGTCAAACTCAGTCAACAGACCATGAACAGACAAAGCAGACAAGTTGTGTGCACAGCTGGCTTATCAATCACCCACCGTCAAAGCAAAGCTGTATCGAGCTTCACAGTCACGGCCAGTCAATCCTGCTTTATGTAGGCTGGGAATTCTTGTTTTGTTTTGAAAACAGTCACTTGAATGATTTGTTTGACAGGACTACTTGCTCTATCAATAACACACAAAGACCTCCAAGGAAAAACTTTATTTTCAAAATGTGTTTTTGTTTTTTAGTTTTTGACCAAATGTGGCAAGAAAAAATTTGAGGTCAGAAATTTGGCCACAAACAATTCAGGTAGGTCGGTAACCATAAACACACAATTTTTGTTTTATTTCGGCCTCAAAGGGGATTAAAAAAATCAAAGAAAGGGCTTTAACCTGCTAAAAGGATGTGAACAACAAACCGCTGTCAAAAAAAAAAAGTTACAAACTTACAGTCAACAAAAGCCGCAACTTTGCGATGAAATAAACATCACAGTAAACTGGCAAAAAGTTCTTCGAACATGTATTTGGAAATGGTGTGTTGGTTTGTCAAATTGTCATGTTATTTTTTTTATTTAAAATAAAAACAAAAACCTAAAGCAGTTATTTTTTTAAGTTACATACTACTCCACGCTATTCAAAAAAAGGTTTTTTTCTCTTAAGAAATTTTCAATTTGCATCTATTTTAACAAAAAAAACCTACATTATTGTGATATGGGCATCTGCAACCCTAAGAAAATGGGCTTTTATTTTGAGCAAAAATGAACACCCCTCCGCCCCCCCCCCCTTACAAAGAGTGGAATCATTGTCTGGCAGCAAATCATTCGATTTTTGGAAGAAATAATTAACTAAACGTCGGTGGATTTTTTTGTTCGATGTTTGATTCAAACTAAGTAGAAAACTAGGGCGTTTGTGTAGTGTAGGGCCCTGTTCCCAAGCATAAGGGAACAAAAATCCACGCTCAGGTTTATATTGTAAACTTTTACCAGACTGGTTAGCGACATTTACATACCAACACTCCCTAACAGGTATGTCATCATGGCATGCATCATGCATGCATTTGCATGGTCATACTCATTCATGCAGATGAAGGTTGGAGGTTTTTAAAAAATTTTGAGGGGCATTTTGGGGTAAAGCAACGATGAAGATGACAAAACCAAATGCAAGAAAAATTTAGCGATCACCACAACGCACAGTGAACACACACAAATCGTGTTGATTCTCATGGCACTAATCTTAAGATGCGTAAAAACATTGCATTTTCTACCGCACGAAACTGTTCTTAAATAACAAAAAAGAAAAGTATGCATTAGGTTGAAAAGGTCATTTTGGAATGATAAAAAGCAACTTCACTCTAATTTGATCAAAACTGAAGAGGGGCCCTTAACTACACAATCGCATAATTTTTGTATAGGCCTACACACGGCTACAGTTTGTGTGATTTTTTTAATTATTTACAGTCACCATGGTCATGATGGTCACTGAATTAAAATGAGAAATTTTATAAAACTTCAAACCACTCACATTCATTTCGCAGAGAAAAAAAATCTTAACATGCTTTAATGGATCCTACGAACAACCACACTTCATAGTCTAGATATTTCTCCATAAAAAAAAACGTACAAGAACAACGGGAGTAATTGCAGAATACCCCGCCACTTGGAAACGTATGGCCAACTGGGGATTCGGCCAACTAAACGTGTGCATTTGTACACAAATCGTATGCACGCACCTTTACTCTTCGTTTTTGCCACCGACCGCACGGACTTTCTTCCAGTATTTCTTGTTCGTCTTCGCTATCGTCACAGCTGTCATGTAGATCTTCGGCCCGCTCGTCTGCAGCCCCATTGGTAGGCATTTTCAACCAGATTTTGGGAACAAAACTGGCGAAAATCCGTTATTTTGTGTCTTCCAAGAGCGGGCATACTCCGAAACAAGAGAGTTCCACCAAAAAAGTGTGGCACAAATAAGGAGTGGTACCCGGCTGGCCACGAGACATATGCTTTTCAACGACAAACATCCTGGGAGGATGTGGGAACCCGCCAAATTGAGAAATACTGTTCACCTTTGACCTGGTTCTTCGTAGACTCCAACGCATCGTTATTCATTTTCCAAATAACGTGAGACATCATTTTCTTTCAATTAGTAACATGTTTTCTCCTTTTTGTCATTAAAAAACATAATGACTTGCTAAAGATACATCGCAATAGTTCTATAACAGACTGTCCTTGGTTAAAAGAAACAGCAGTGAAAAGCAAAGGAGTTATATTTTGTTAGTCTCACTTTAAAGGATGATGTCATTGGCTATAAATATAGTAAGCGATATTGAGGGCGCCATTTAGACAACCAATCTACTAAAAACATGTAAACAAACCTTCTCAACAGCGCAGTTTCTGAGGATTTTTCCAGGGTGGGGTGGGGCGGGGGACATATCCACAAACGGTGTGGGGAACTAATATTTTCAATTTCACAATTTTAACGTGCCAACCAAATATTTCGACACCCTAAAAACATAGCCAAGCTTTTGCTATAAAACTGGCACAATATGGCTAGAACACACGGTACATGTAAGTAATGAAATTTGTCAGAAAATATTTAGGATTTTCATATCTTGACGAAAACATTGAACAAAAAATTGACGACAAAACTACAGAACTGGTAACACAAAATTGAAGACATCATTTCAACTGCAGAGTCTCCCAGAGACTTGTAAAACATTTTATTGGAAAAGAATTTTGATTCAATTGATAACAATGAAAAAGAAGGGTCTCTCAAGTATTATAAAATATATTTTCAAAACGGCCACAACGATGGCTGCAGCATTAATTACATGCAAACCATCAATAACTATACTGTGAATGTTCACACTAATAACAAATCCCTTATCTGCACTAAGAACAAAGCAATGTATAACATGGAGTGTGTTGCAGGACAAAAATAACACAGATTTTTTTTTTTTAATTGAATGACACCCCTGTTTTAATTTATTGCTGATGCACTCAATCTTGACTATTTTAAAGGCATATATAGGATCATTTGCTTTTCGTACATTTTGTTCGTTTCCAATAATAACACCACTCAAAATCTAAAGAATGGTCAAAACCTAACCTGTTGAAGTTTCAGCTCAGTGGATAGCACACTTTAAAATAAAACAGTAAAAAAACACGCACAACCTTTCGATCAAGAAATACTCTTTTGCAATGCTCTATTTTTCCAAAGGTCAGTCGCCTGACTGATCGTTGGAAATCACCAACATTTCTTGAAAATTCTTCTAAATGACAGCAAGCCAGACGGAATAATTTCAGGGGTGTTTAGTACTAGTACGATCTTTAATCCAAAAAAGCTTTTTCGATAATAATTTGGTAGGTTACTTTTCGGATAAATGCAAAATGATCCTATATACACCTTTAATGAAGGTTATCCCTGTGCAGCTTTAGACAATAGAGGGCGCTGTGCAGCAACTCCATGAGACCCCAGAAAGGACATGTCAGAAGTTCATGAGCATGTACATTTAACTGCAATGGTTATGCAAAGGTCCATTGAGAAATAATTTTGGCATACATGTGAGCCTGCATATCTGACATAATTTAATCCTACAATACAGGACAAAGTTCAGATTTTGCCAAAATTTAATTGAAAATGGTCACACAAAACAAACTATTTTCCCAAACTAAACAAAAAAATCCAGTTTTGAATACAAAATTACACCGAAGAAAAATCTAAAAACAGCAAAGAAAATTTCAAGAAAAACTGATGAAAACGAATATTTCAGCGGATTTTGTGTGAAACAACTCCGCAAGGCTTAAAGGTAATATACAAGATTTGCTTTTGCTGTACTTTTCAGAAATGGATGGATTTAGTATTCTAAAGCAATTATTGTTACACCGACCTGTTTAAAGTTTTGTGTTCATAGATGCTGGAAAACCAAAAAAAAATGCTGTTCTTGTAGTCTGGATCCCTGACCCTACTTCAGACGAAACAGAGCAATTTATAGACGTCAGGGGATTGTCAGGTCAGGGAACCAGACTAGCTGGCTTGCACCCATTCATGGATGTGTAACCAATTGCAAACAAAATGTGGACTGAATAAATTTGGAAATTGGGGGCAGTATTTGAAGAAAAGTCACAAAAAGGTCACTTTTTTCCAAGGATGGTCGGCTGACCACTGTTGGAAATTGATACAAAAATTCCACTGTTCTTGAAAATGACAACACACCAGGTGCCATGATTTCACAGGATGCATTTTTACTTAGTCAAGGAAGGTATTTCATAATAATTTGGTAGTTTGGTTTTTGGATGTTTGCAAATGTTGCATATTACCTTTAAATCAGAAATGCTGTGGTGATGATTTATACGAAATACAAAATTTTACCCCTTGCAAAAAAAAAACCTTACAAAACAGTTACATGTACCAGTCACACTGATAACAATTGGTGACTCGACAATAAGCATAAATATAAAACAATATGGGGAAACATCGGCCTCATTCAAGAATGACAGAGGGCGCCACCACAACGTCATTTTGTCACGAAGAGGGCGCTATTTTGTCGAGGATGTCATTTTGTTGGTACATGTATAAACATATGTGTATCAGCACATATCGACGCAAGTTTGCACGTTTCTACAATTTTTAAATTTTTTTAGATTCAAGTTAAGTTAACAAACTGTTGTAATGAATGGGATATTTCTGGAGCAAATATATTCAAATAAATTATATGAAATAATCGCCACACTCGGTCTTAAAATACTGGGCCATTGGAAATTTCGTGGGTCTGTATTTGAAAATGACAAAACTTGCGTTAGGACTTGAATAGAGCCTGAAAGTTCACCTTCATTGCTGCTTCCGGAACCGTGAATATGAAAATAAATGTGCACAAAATTCTAAAATTTGCAATTATATCTGGTACATTAATTTCTTAAGAACATTACCTCGAGTAAGGCCTTTGTACAATTGTTACTAGCATCTCAATTTTGAAACTGAAAAATCGCCCGACGTGAAAGAGAAATATCGTGCCAAAAATTGACCTCTCACTTCCGAAAAGCTAAAATGCATGTGGAGTAGTGAAATTTATGAATCGCAATGTGTATCGCATTGATCGCACAATTTCACTCCACATTGAGGACAACGCCACCATCTTCAACATCAAAGTAAACTTAACGCTATTTTGTTTAAATTTAAACCTTGATGCTTAACACAACCAAGACACAAATTCACAGCGCTGCAGATGAAAGAAATATTCCAGCATTCCAGCAAAATGAGACCGAACTGGGCACAGGTCAGTGGAGAAAAATGAAAAAAACAAACCAAATAGCGGTGATTTTTATTTTAGTTTCAGATTTTGTCATAGTTGTAATCTTCAATATGTTCACTACACATTTTAAAGAAATAAATTGAATAAGGAAAACAATTGGCATCTTTCATTCGTACGACTACAAAGCGGAACTTTAAAGGCCCTTTTCTCAGTCCTTTTTGGTCATGTCGGCAAGTGCGAACTTTTAACATCCATGTTAGGGTTAAACAGAATGTCCGACTGAAGTGCAACAACAGTATTGTAAGAAGAATTTTGTTCTCATTCCTAATACCCGCAAACCCTCATTTCGACCTCTGCCCAGTTGTCTGAATTTGCCAGAACCTTCACTTTACCAGTATAAAGAATACCTATACTCACGAAGACCGAATTCTTGAACAATTTACTCATAGCCCTCTTTATATCGACTTGGTTCCAAGGAAAATGACCGCCGACTTCACAGCTAAACCATTGAGATGCTTTTAAATCTTCACTATGGTAACAGAGTTGAGTTCAGTTTAAAAAAAAACCCAGGAATGCTTTGTACAAAATATTACTCACGTGTCAAAATCTAGTATTTCCAATGAGAAATGCAGCTTTTTTTTTCTCGTTATTTACATATCCCCTGAGAAATATGGGTTTGTGTCGATGGGAAGATGCATGAATATGTAAAGAGAACACTAAAACTCCCCTTTGTTTTTCCCTTAAAGTATTTCTGTAACCAAGCAGCCATCTTGGATTTATTCCCCCACATGCAAGCCAAACCCTAAGAGAGGCTGGTTTAAAATAGTCTGGCACCCATGTCATGGTGGAACACTTCATATAGAGTTAGCACCTTGTTGGTTGGGTACTACTCAAAGATGGCCACTGTAGGAGTGTATACAAGTGTGAAGTGGAAAGACGAGTCCGGAATCAGACCTTGTGCCTTTTACTGTCATCGTCATCGGTTGGCGTACTCTCGCTGGCCTTTCGCTTGACGCCGACGGCTAGGGGTTGGCCCGGCGTGTCGTGGTTGAACTGAACGATGACGCAGGTCATGTTGTCGCAGCCGGTGCCGTCCCCGCTCGTGTCGGGCGCCAGGCAGACGTGGAAGAGCTGTGGTTATGAATATGCATCAATATTAAATTTATGAATATGCATCAATCATCTTCGTCTTCATAAATATACATGAAGTCCCTCAATTTGCTGAAAAGTTTTAAGGGAAAGGGCCAAAGGTTTTCTGGAATGAAGACTATTCAAAAATATTCTTTAAGCCTAACCGCCCTGAATCCTTCAAAATCGTCTTTGCCAAAGTGGAGGAATTTGGAGGATTGAGGTTACATGACGTTACTGATTTCGTAGGATGCACTTTGTCAAGGTCTTGGGCAGACCTTGTGTTGTTTTTGCTCAGCCATGCATAAATATAGGCCTGGATTATGCTTGGAATACTTCGTACTGCTCCAGGGTGTCACTGGCCAAGCCTCAACATATTGACAGACACTGCCACATCATTTTGCAGGATTCAGGCAGTGGTCACCCCTCCATGGACCATATTCAAGAAATAATGGAGGAATTGGCAGGATTGAGGCTATATGCTATTTTTCCATGAGACCAATTGGAGGATTTTGCAGGATTGAGGCTACATCCAGCAAAATGGCCTGACCTAGGAGTTAGGGACGGTACACAAGTATTCATCACATAATTATATCATACAGTCGACTCTCGTTAATACAAACTCTGCTGGACCTAGAGGTGGGGTGGGTGCCAGGGTGGAGGATGGGTTATGGGGTAGGGGTGGGAGAGTGACGGGGGTGGGGGAAGGCAGTAGGAGATGGGGTAGGATGGGAGGGAAGGAGGGGGGTATGGGGGAAGGGAGGGGGGAGACACAAAGTATGAATTCTTACCTCTTCGCATATTTCGGATAATTTGGGTTTACCCTCGCTGCTTTGCTTGGCTATTCTGTCCCTGACAAATTCTATCACCTCCTGGCTTGTCATGACATTCCTTGATAACAGAGAGAAAAATGACAATTGAAAATCAATTTACTGACTAAACAAGACGAGACAAGGTTAGCCTTGTTAAGCAACGATTTACAGGAAATTTTCAAAATGGCATCCAAGTAATCAGAGTTCACCCATATGACTTTGACTTTTCAACACGGCTGCCGTAACAATTCTTGTACAAAGCCCATCTCTCTGATCCATTTTCTCCATGATTCAACTGAGGGAAATCCATTTGTTGGATTTTTGGCAGGAACACACTGACATGAACTTTAGGGGTTTTGGAATGAAAAGGTCAACCCACCAAATACCGTCGCAAGCAACAACCATGATGTCGTGTTCCTTGGTCAGCTCAGCTGTCTGTATGTCTGGGAATGCAGAGATCATCTGCTCTTCTGGTGGAAGGTTTGTGTTGCACTTGTAACAATGATCGCCTGGTTAACAAACAAACAACAACAAGAAGCAACATGGTTGTGTGAGATGGAAATGTACGACAGTCATGACAGTAGGATTTAACAGCACCAATTTTTCATACAAAGGTAAAGGTTTCGGGGATGAACCTATGTTTACAGGAACGGAGTGCCCATCTCTCTTTCGTTAGCGATTGGGCCAGACTCATATGCTGCTGTGAGGGATCGCCACACCTCCTCCACAGCGAGTCTGTTACCTTCCCAGCATTGAATAATGCCGGTACCTACTTAACACCTGGGTTGAGATGAGTAATTGAGGTAAAGCGCCTTACTCAAGAGCACAACACGCATGGCCACGGCGGGGCTCGAACCCACAATCACACGATCATGAATCCCATGCCTTTCGGCAAAAATAATCCCGGCGCGAAGTGGTTAATTCAATTTGGTTCAGTGCCATCTGGAATGCATGAATAAAATCAATGCAACTCTTACCTATGGCTCTTGAGAGATTGAGGCCGCCGTTGACTCTTCCGTCTGGCGTCACTTTCCCGCCGGCTTTCTCTATTCTCGTGATTTCGATTTTATCCTCAGGTTTGTGGTCGATGGAAAGATCTACAGCTTCGCCGGCTTTTGATAACACGCAGCGTGAGTCTCCAGCATTGGCTACGATGATTTGGTTGTCTCGTATTAAGGCCACGACGGCAGTACACCCACTGTCACTTCCAGGCTGTTTTTAAAATGTTATTTAAAAAAAAAAAAAAAGTTAAAACAACATCATTCAAAATAATTCTGCAATTACTGCCAGCATTCATGGTTGTGATGAGGCCTAGAGGCTGTTCGTATTTGACAGTTGATGACAAGGTTTCGCTCCCTTATGTGCCAACTCTCCCTAAAGCTATAGTCCATCATTTGCAGCCATCCGAAAAGTAACTGGCATAATTATTGTTAAAAAATATACTTGGTTGAAAGATAGTAAGTGGACTAAACTCCCGGTGAAATTATTCTTTCTAGCAAAATGTCATTTTGAAGTAATCAACGAAAGAAGGCCTTTCCAACGGTGCGTCTGAAGTCGCACCGTAGGAAATTTAAATTAGTAGTTCGTTTTGTTATTCGGCGAAGCGCGCGCAAGCATTGGCACGACGCACACGCGCGTGCGGTTGCTATAATTCGTCGGATCAGTGCGCGACATCGCATATAGCTGCAATTCAAAACATGATTCAGCAACTTTTGATTTGAAATTGAGATCCTAGAATGCTGTTTTTTCTCTGAATATACAGCTGAAGCTGAGCTGAAACTTCATCAGGTTAGTTGTTCAGTATCCTTCATTAGATTTTGAACACTTTTGTTGCTTCAAATGAACAAAATGCACAATGATGAACTATATCTTTAACCCTAACTCTGTAGTGTCTTTTACTAAGTACTGAACCAAGTCCGCCAAAATCCATCACTGACCCTGCTTCACATAACGCTTTAGGACCAAATCCGCTGAAATCCACCACAAGACCACCACTTTTATAGGTGGATTATGATGGTACTCATGGCTTGCCTACCAAAATCCCCAAAATGGGGGAATGAAGTTTGATGGATTTGGGAAGGTAAGGGTTAATGTATGTTTTATTTCGGATGAACAAATACATCCCTCGAACCTAGTTCAATAAATGGAAAGCTTACACAACATCGCATAGGTTTGTTATTAAAAACCACTATCCTACAATACTCATGAGAAGTCGACTTGGATGATTTTGTTGCATGGTTGCCCAAATCTACTCCACTTACTTCTTCTTTTTGTCCAAAGACGTCTTGTTGTTCATCTTCATCTTCATCCTCATCATCTTCATCATCATCCGGTTCATCCCCTCCTTCGGCGTCCTCATCTTCTTCTGAATCGCTCTCATCATCATCGTCATCATCTTCTTCTTCTTCTGCGTCTTCCTCATCGTCTTCCGCTTCCTCCTCCTCTGCCTCATTATCACCTTCACTTTCCGCTGGACAACAAATCAAACACCGAATTAACATATGAAGAGTTATTTCCAAAACACAACATACGTGTATCCATTTGACAAAAAGTGAAAAATTTAAACGGTTTAATATGAATCTTTATCCCTAACTCCCATAATTTCTTGACTATATTCCTTGGAGGGATGCCCACTGCCTCAATCCTTCAGAATCCTCCAGCAGTCCCTGTTAATACATTGAGGCAGTGCCAATGACATCCTGGAGCGGACGAGTTCAAGTGTAATCTAGGCCTAAATTCATGCACGGCTGAAAAAAACAACACAAGGTCCGGCCTAAGACTTTGAGCCTCCACAATCAGCCACACATTTTTGCCACACATAAAAATTTCTGTTCATAAACTTCCCTTTTCACTTTATTGTGTTCAACTAGAAATAAAACCTGTCGAAACTGTTTTTGGGCAACCAGGAGAGAGCAGGATTTTATAAGCCAACAAAATGGCTTTATCGCGTTTTGGAAAAAACTCTTCATATTGACTTTTTTTGGGGGGGTGCCTGCGCATCTCCATCCCTAACTTTCTAAGATGCTTCATTAATCATCCAAAAATGTAAAAGTTTTTTGAGCATTTTGCAAGAAAGACAAGCTACAATTGTGCCACTTTTAGATTACATCAGTGGCTGTAGCTTCCAAAATACACATGCGCCTATGGAAGAGATTGAAGCCGCTTCCTCAAGACACGCATGTAACTGCTACCGTAGCCAAGTATCGCAGACATAACCTCAATTTCCTTAGGATTTGATGCCAAAAACAACACCACCCCCACCCAAAAAAGGAGGAAAACCCCCCAGAAAAAAACACAAACCAGGCATTTTGTAACCTCAATTTCCTTAGGATTTGATGCCCAAAACAACAACCCCCCCCCCAAAAAAAAGGAGGAAAAACCCTTAAAAAAACACAAACCAGGCATATTCTTAGTACTAAACATGACACAAAGCACAGTAAGTCTCTAACATTCAGCTACATTCAAGTGGATAGAAGGTGTTTAATCAAATCAGTCAGCCCCGTGAGAACTTTTCACTATGCAATGGTCGACAGGACAATTTGACATTTTGTAAGTATGATACATCTACTCTTGGCCTTCTTAAGAAAACTGTACATTTGTAGCAACATATGGGACGGCGTGAACAGACTGTTGTGTCGTGTAGACTACATACACGTCTACACGTAACTTAGCATGCGCAAAAGAGCCTTAGATGTTAAATCTAGTTTCCTGCTGATAATGCATACATAAGGTGGGAACCCAGTCTTAATAAGTACCAGGGACGCATTGTCCACATCATAGGTATGCTCTTTAGATTGGATACCAGCGTCGTACGTATCATCACCGTACGCAACGTGTACGTTGATATGGGTATTTTGTGCAGCCTTGTTGCTTTTTATTTGTCCCCTTTTGGCAGTTTATTCTAGTTTTTCATGCAGAGAGAGTGTATGTATCTACACACATACCAGTCCAATATATTTGGTCCCGTATGTGGCTGGTTATAAAACTGTACAATACCCTTAACCCTAACCCACCTCACTCCTCCAAAATCCTCCTGGCGGTTTTGGAGGATTCTAGAGGATTGAGGATGAATGGTGATTGAATCAAATGAGGATTCTGGAGGATTGAGGATGAATGGTGATTGAAGCACATGAGGATTTTGGAGGATTGAGGATGAATGGTGATTGAAGCACAAGAGGATTTTGGAGGATTGAGGATGAATGCACTTTGAGGCAGGACTGTCTGATGATTTTGAAGGATTTGGCGTTGGTTATCCTTCATTTAAACACGAGTGCAAAGTTTTGGGATGAGGAGGATTTTGGAGGATTGAGGATGAATGCATTTTGAGGCAGGACTGTCTGACAATTTTGAAAAATTTAGGCGGAGTTGCAAAATTTTGGAGGATTGAGGATGGTTGTAAGCAACAAGGGCCTAGGGGGTTAGGGTTAACAGCTGCAACACTGTACGATTGATGAGTCCAACATCGTAAGACTTCTACACCTACCTAATCTTCCGTTGACTTCCTCCGTCTCCGCAGCGTCTGTACCATTGCATTTGATGATCTCTTGTGAGTCCTTCCCACTGTCGTTACCCTCCGGTTCTTGCACCTCGTCGACAGCACTGCCGTCCTTCTTAGCACCATTAGCTTCAACTTGGACCTTTGACCCTGCCTCGACCTCCTCCTCATCATCGTCGAGTCTCAGAGGAATTGAGCCTCTGTCGCCCTCCCCATTGTCCTTGTCTTGTCCATTGGCCGCGTCCTCGTTACCAAACGCCGGCGCTTTTTTACGGACCATTGGAGATAGGAGGTCGTTTCTGTCCAGTTTTTTGCGGAGTGTCCGTGTCTTTGTCGGGTGGTAACTGTAGCGGGCAAGCAGCTCTCCTAGGGGTAGGTTGGCTTCTTCCTGTAAGGCATTCGCTTCTTCAGCATCAGCTGTTTAAAAAAAACACAACAAACTAAACAGAGTGTGGCCTAGTGGTTAGGGTTTGTAACTCATGATCAGAGGGTCAGGGGTTCGAATCTAGCTGCTGGCCATATGTTGTGTCCTTGGGCAAGCCAGTTCATGCCCACTTGCCTCTCTCCACCCACGAGTACAAATGGGAACCACTTCAACTTTTGTTGGAACATTTGTGCAAGGGCAATTCCAGTGTAATGAAAGAAAGTGTAATGTCCACGACAAAGCCAATTAACCATGATATCTAATGAATGATTCAGAGAAATGATCCAAAACTCCTAGTCTGTAATCTCCTTGACCATTACAAGATGATGGATGCATAAGATTTAAAAACTACACTTTCAGATTAATTCGCCAAGCTCTTAAAGGGACACTAGGTCCTGGAACAGCCCAATTGGGCTACAAAACGCGCTTTGAACAAGATGATGTTAATCGGAAATAACATTTAAAAGAAGGATATAAACATTCACACAACTATCCTTTCAAAACTGGGCGTTTTTGAGTTATTCCTGTATTATGCGTGCGAGAACGAATATCAGTGTCCACTTTTGCGACCCCATAAATTCGAGCTATTATGACGCTAGTTGTGATTTCATTCGTAAAGTGTTCGCCTTTTGCGGACGTTGAAGAAACCAAAATTTTTTTTGCATTGGTGATTGGTCACCACTGTTCCCGAGACACACAAGACAGGAAAAACGTATTCGTACTCCGTCATGTCCGATGTAAACAAACGGTGTTTTTTCGTCTTTTCTCGGGAATGGTAAGAAATTAGGTTGGTTTCCTTTCAACCAGGTGTTTGAAATAGGGTAAGTAAACAATCCAAAACACAAAATTTTCGGGGATTTCAGGACCTAGTGCCCCTTTAAAAGCTGTCACGGACGTTACATATTGCCCGAAACAACTTTTATTTATTAATTTTGTCTGGTTTTTTTTTTTTGGGGGGGGGTTTGTTTAGAAAATTGTAAATGTTCTTCTACCTTCATCGCTGTTGTGTTCCATCCCCGCTATTTGTCGCAGTTCCTCCACCACGGCTGGCTCCTTGATAGCCACGTCTATCTTCATGAAGGCATCCTCCAAAGCCTTGCCGATGTCACCATTCTTGTAAGCCGCCTGGTCCAGGATGTAGTCAGGCAGATACTTGGAGCAGTAGATAGCTACTTCCGCTCCTGGAGAAAGCCAGCGACAGAAGGAATTAACTGTTACCCTACCTGGGGCAGAAATCTGTGTCAAGGTCTTGGTCCAGCCCAAGACCTTGACACAGATTTCATCTTACGACTCATCTTAGGATTTAAGACGAGTCCCTACTCTAAGATCGATCTTACCTAAGAGGCGTCCTAAGACCAATTTCACTAAACCCATGTTAAGCAAGAAGCATCAGAACTACCAACTTGATGGCTGTTTCATGTTTGTTTTTACCACTTGACGAAACAGTCGTAGAAAAAAAATGCGCAAAACCAAAATGTTGAGGCAGAGCCAGTGACATCCTGGAGCAGTGTGGAGGATTTTAAGTATAATCTAGGCCTAAATGTATGCATGGCTGAGCATAAACAACACACGGTCCAGCCCAAGACCTTGACACGGTGCATCCTCCAAAATCAGCCACACATTTTCGCCATAGCCTCAATCCTGCAAAATCCTCCATTTTGCAAAGAGGATTTTGGAGGATTTGGGAAGGTTAGGGTTAATAATTCATGACTTTGACCCAAGCAGTTGACCTTGCCATTGCGCATGCTCACAATATGATCGAAATACTCTACACTATCAGTGGGCGACATTTGTAGGGGTAAGTTCACATATTCTTAGTTATTTATTATAATACCTCCGTGACCATCATAGACAGCAAACATGGCTGTCTCCTCGTCAAGTTGTGAAATGCAGTTGTGGCCATCCTGCAGAAACGAATCAAACCAAAGCATAAATAAATTAATTAAGTAATTAAAAAAAAAAACATTCATCATTTTTATCAATACAACAGCAACAATTAAGGCCTATATCAACGATGGAAAAAAAAAATATGTCCTGATGCCAAGTTTGGTGGTTGTGAAGACTTCTAAGATTATTCTAACAAGATTGGTAATTTTTCTCAGTCCTAAAATTCATGCAAAAATCATACAGGTAAATATACATGTATGGTGCACAAAACTTGCAAAAGAAACATTGGAAAGAATGTTATATCCTGACACCACTTTTGTCATCATATATCACCTATCATGTATCATAATTATATACCGTTACCACCCAGTAGACTCTGTGCATAGGGCCCTATGCACAGTCTACTCCAGTTCGGTGCCATATATAGTCGGACTCCCTATTATCGCGGCATCCCTATTATCGCGGCATGGGAAATTTCTTTTTTTGCGTTGCCAAAAGTCCTTCACCAGGCATTAACCCTAACCCACCTCACTCCTCCAAAATCCTCCTGGCGGTTTTGGAGGATTCTAGAGGATTGAGGATGAATGGTGATTGAATCAAATGAGGATTCTGGAGGATTGAGGATGAATGGTGATTGAAGCACATGAGGATTTTGGAGGATTGAGGATGAATGGTGATTGAAGCACATGAGGATTTTGGAGGATTGAGGATGAATGCACTTTGAGGCAGGACTGTCTGATGATTTTGAAGGATTTGGCGTTGGTTATCCTTCATTTAAACACGAGTGCAAAGTTTTGGGATGAGGAGGATTTTGGAGGATTGAGGATGGTTGTAAGCAACAAGGGCCTAGGGGGTTAGGGTTAAGGACTTTCTGCCAAGTTGTATAAAAACGACGATTAAAAAATGTTGTGTCTTTCGGGACTTTTAACGATTTTTAATAAATATTAACGTTTTCCAAAACTTGCAAATTTTTCCTCACCGTATCTGCTAAAAGGTACCGTCTATATTTTAACATAAATCTTTAAGATAGTGGATATTTTGCCGGAGGTAATGACGGCAAACTAACGATTACTAAAGGTTTGCCGGCGGCAATCCATATCAACAGAGGGCGCTGTACTCTTTAAAATAGGGCTGAATTATAAGATGTATTAAATTCCAACCAAAAATTGTGTAGCACGTTTGGTGTAGTGGTTAAGCAAAGGCTCTAGTAAGCGGGATGACTCGTGTTTGATTCCGACCGCACCACATTTTAAATTTTTTTTTTTTCATCCCCAAATAAATAAGAATATTCTTCTTTTATTATTTTAACATGTCTCAAACATTTTTTGCAGAGCATTACATTTTCTTTTTCAGTTTTGTGGCTCTGGAGGATTTTTTTTAAAAGGGAAATAAAGTCCGAAATTATAAAATGGTCTGAATCCCATCTTGTGAATACGAGGTAACAACGATAATTTTGGCATGGAACCAGACTAAAACTTGTCACCGGAAAATGTTTAAGTACAAAAAAACAGTAACTGCGCATGTTCAGTGCATATCCGGCAAACTAACGTTTACTAAAAGGTTTGCCGTTTCCGGCAAAATATACACTGCCAATCTTTAATGGCGCTCTGTCCATGCAAGTTCCATTGTCTGGTTCCCATTCTACAGCTGCAAACACAAAATGAAGTCGAAGGACAATATTTCCACCGCGAAATCGTAAAAATTTTACAGGATCAAAATAAGGACAGTGCGTCAAAAATAAACGGCACACCGACCGTGTAAAGTGAATGGTGCCCCCAATCGCCAATCAGTAGACTTGTCTCAGCGATTTTTGTTCTCCTTTCGGGGTAGGGTCAGGGTCTTCAGAAATCATTCTGCAGGCATATAGTCTTTAATCAACTTGAACGTTAGAGGGAAAATATCAGACTTTATTCAGGGGATGTTTTGGTCAAACATTAACTATGAAAAAAAACGTTGAGATCATTATAAAACCAACTTCCCACATACTGCGATAATAGGGAGTCCACCTCTGTTCGCACACTCCGAGCATGTCTATTTTCACAGGCATCGTACACGGAATAAACCACACCACAGTCGGATTTGTTTGAAAAGGAAGAGTTATACAAAAGACAAGACAATTCGGGCATCGGGAAGGTAAGTGGGCAATCTCTATTCCGAATGAGAAACGTGATAAGTACCACGATAATGTTACGGAGTCCCATCCTACTTACTACAACTTAGTACAAGGCTAACCTTCATTGAGATGATACAAGAATTATGATGAAAAAAGTGGTGTCACTGTCAGGATGCAACACTTTTTCCCAAATTTCTAAAATCTTGTAATATTGCCGATTCATAATGTACAAATTACAATGTAGGCTATAATACATGTGTAATATTCAATAACATGATGAACAAATTACAATGTAGCTGTAGCTACATTGTTCAATAATATAAATATACATTGATTGGTAGAAAAACAATCATGCCAAATGATAGCCCCATAATGTGGCCAGTTTACTGGACTGCCTCCGTAAACATAGGCCACACATCCACATGTACAAAAATCGTGTCGACGGAGCCAAATTTTGATTTTCACATTTAGGATTAGTTTGTAGGTTTTTTTTGCTTTAGAAGCATACTCACCCTCTTTATAGGCTAATCAGAAAGTGCTGCCTTTTTCAGATATATATTTTTCGTGAAATTTCCAGATTCATTTTTACACGTTTGCGTATCAAAATTTCAACATGAAATTTCACAAAAATTAGACATCTGAAAAAGGCAGCACTTTCTGATTAGCCTATAAGAGGGTGAGTATGCTTCTAAAGCAAAAAAATCCTACAAACTAAGCCTAAATGTGAAAATCAAAATTTGGCTCCGTCGACACGATTTGTGTACATGTGGATGTGTGGCCTATGTTTACGGAGGCAGTCCAGTAAATAGGCCACATTTATGGGGCTAGCCAAATGACCAAGGCAAAACATTAAACATCTGAACATGACACGAAAAGTAACTCATTCAGTGTCACCAAGGAGAATAATGGGGCAAGCTATCACTGACAATCATCAACACTGTTGATTTACATTATAAAATACACCTGATTTTATCCAGGGAACACTAAGCATGGTCTATCTAACTTGTTAAAATCAATAATGATCAAAGACAAGGATTCCACTACACAACGAAGTTCGACATGTTCGGATAGCCTACCTCCATTCCGAGTCGCCAACCTTGCATCGCAGACGAACCAAATCGGACCTTTTCGGTGCCCCCATCATCAGAAACGCACTCTGTCTTCGGCTCTGAAAGATAAGCTCCCATCCTGAACAAATCGTTCCTTCGATAAAACAGTTTCACCTGCGTTTCATAACAGGAAAGTTATCGAAGAAGTTCTCCAACTAAAACTTTTGAAAATTCGTTTTCACGTGGCGATGAACGTACGTAAAGTGCTTTCATAAAAAAAACGTACGCAGAATGAATGCAAGAATGCAAGTTCATTGGTTTTCCAACTACTTGCGTAATCCTTATGTGGACAACGGATACCAGCGACTCTGTGGAGCTATAAATAACACGTGACCCCGCGGGCCCAAAAACCCCCACATTTCGTCATTTATGTGGTTTTTGTATGAATTTTATTAATTTAAACTACACATGCCCCAAAACTACAAGGAATCATTTATAACGACTAAAGAGACTTATGTGTGAACGAATTCCATGAACCAACAATCACCAACGACTACACCAAATGTAATCGTCCATTTTAGGGGCGGAGTCGAACTAAGTGGGGCATAGTGTGAGCATAAAATTCTGCTTTGAGCAACAGGTTGAAGTTTCAGACCGATTGGTTTAATTCCCCGTTTTCTCAGTTCTTCAGCTTATTCGATTTTTAAGCTCTGGCACATAGCTTCTACAAGTCACTTTGGTGTCTGTCGGTCCCCCCCCCCCAAAAAAAAAAATTGACCAAAAACCCCTAACTCACCCATAAAACTTTAAGTACCAAAATTGTAACTGTCCAAAAAAAAAGAAGCAAACAAAATACATTATATACTTGACAAATAGTGTTTGAAACAAATCGTGGAGTTGTTTATGAAAAGTGTGTTCATGGAGGGAAGAAAATGTGGTAAATGTAAAGGTCACGTGGTATGTAATGCGCTAGGAACTTAGGAGCTTATACACACCTGTAACTATGCATCACCCCTGCATCTGGCCCTGTGTAAGGTTTACGAGTCTCCATGGCCTATATAGGGATGATGCCAAAAATAGTTCTGCTTCCGATTACATGGTATTAGAAAATAGGGTAGGTAGGTAGGAAGGTAGGTAGGGAAGTTTTTTTTGGGGGGGGGGGCGGGGTTTTTTTGGTGTCCGATCATAATTATGGAGGCGTCTGCGTGTAGTCAAGGGAAAAGGTAGTAATTGATGGTTTGGGGCGTTTTTTTATCAGGTTTTTTCCATGAACAAATAAGGGTAGGGGCTGTCAATTGACAATCACGAACAAGTGAGCAATTGTACCATTTCATGCAAGACTGTCATGCAAGACGGCCAGAGCTTATTGTGCAATCGCACTTGTTTATCTTCAACTTGTATGTTTTATTCAATACCCTCCCCCCTTTAGGCGTCAACCTTTTGTGAAAAGGGTTTACTTTGGTTTGGGCACAGATCCGCCCAGCGACTGACGTACTATGGAATTTCATAAATTTGGAGCTTCTACACATGTCACTTAATTGGTGGTCGGTCGGTCGGTCGGTCGGTCTGTCTGTCGGTCTGTTCCCATAAAATTGACCAAACTATGGTGTTGCATATGTGCCATCGGCGTCGCATTTCTCGGCATCGCATTTAAACTTGAGGACATTTTGTATTATCAGAAGAATAGCAATTTGAAACACAAGTCTTTTTAAAGGGTAAACTCGATCGAAAATATAGCACCGAAGAAACTTGTAATTAAGGAGCTCATTTAGAGGAATAAAACAAGTTTGTTTTTTATTAAGAAACTTAAAGTTGAACCAGTGCTTTATAGTGGCGTGTCCATGCAGAGGGGGGAAGGGGACACCTTGCCCTCCCCCCCTCCCCCGGCGGCATTTTTGATGACGTCGTAAGACCAAAACCAACAGTATTTTTAGACGTCGATACAGTAAGTCTTAATTTGCGCCCCCCCCCCCCCGGCATAAAAAGCTGGTTACCGGCGCAGCGCTACACATTGACTAGTAGTATTCTGCTAGAATTGTATGGATAATTGGTTTCCTCCATGATATCGTCACCAAAGTTTTCACGAAGAGCCATATTATGTCAAAAATTACCAGGTTTTTTTCGATTTCGATTTTTTCACTATTTTGCTTTAAAACATTGTACTTATAACCATTTTGATATGTTTCTGTTAGCAAAACATCATTAATTTCCAAATTACATTAATGATGCAAGGGGCCGGAAATCTCGATAATTGCATTTTGCGTTTTCACGAAGAGCCACATACATTTTAGCCCCTTGAACGCGTACAAAACCTATTGCGTTTGCAAGGAAAGGCGTAAAGGTAGGTCAACTGAGAATTCCGTTTTCACGAAGATCTTTCAATTCTCAGCGGCTCACGCGTACACACGCGCGCCTATGGAAAAGCTTAGCCGTTGAACAGCAAGGGTCAAAATGTTGGAAACTTGAACTTTCGTTTTCACGAAGAGACACATAAAAACTTTACTAATTAATTTTCACTAATTAACTACTGTATTAATTATAATGACTAGGTTCACGTAAAAAAAAAATCAGCTCTCATAGAATCATGTGAAGGTTTTTTTCTTACTGCACAAAGTTGTTGCAAAGTAGTATGTATTTTTTGCAGCTGAGTTTTAAAATAGGAGAAACTTCTTTTTGCAATCATCGTCTCGAAAACGCCTTTTCTTCAAAATCCACATATCGTGATGACCTATAACTGACCTCGTTTGTCAATAAAGGAACTTTGTATCAAGAAAGTAACGTAATACCGTTAAATGGTCCAATTTATATGCTAATGGCTTTGGGTTTTTACGACCAGACAAGGCGCTAATTTGATTATCTAGACCAGCAGCTAGCAGGGCCCTGTGACCTAGACATCGTTTGTGCCACCCGTGTGGTCTCTGTGCCGACCTGATCAGGATAAGCACGTGACCAGAAAAGTCATGTCATGTGATGGGTCATCTGATAACATGTTTAGTCGGGAGCCAAACCAGAAACTACTTTTATACTTCGTCTTATGTTAAGAATTGGGATACCAGACTACACCACCCCTTGGATCCAACGTCGTCGTCGCGCGATAAGTTTCTACTCAAAAAACTTTAGCAAAATGTTCTCTCAGATCCTCTTTGTCTGCTTGGCCGCTGCGGTTTGTGAGTATATAAATACAATACTTGTTCAATGTAGAAAATATCTTTCTTTTTACAGGTAAGATTTTCCTTCAAACTCGAACCAACAAAGGCGGTAGGAAAGATACCGGCGCGGCACAGCAGTCGCTCGCACTTGCAAGGGTTTCGATCCAACTCGGACCCAAACCAACTCGGACCCAAGCCAACTCGGACCCAAGCCAACTCGGACCCAAGCCAACTCGGACCCATGCTAACTCGGACCCACTACCAACTCGGACCCACGACCAACTCGGACCCACTACCAACTCGGACCCACAACCAACTCGGACCCACTACAAACTCGGACCCATGCGTGACCAACTCGGACCCATCGTTTTCAATCATTCGACATCGTTTTCAATCATTCATTTCATAAAGTTTGTCCACTCCTCATCTGTTATTACAGTGATGCTGTTTGGTATAAATTTTCATTGTAATTGTTGTAAGGTAAATTATCTCATATCTGTATTGCAGCAGTATAACATTTTTGTCGTTGTCACAAGCGCATTGAAATGCTATTTTGAAATGCGTTTTAAAAGTGTAATTAATTATTTATTATTTTTATTTGTTTCCATTAAAACATATTGCGCTTTAAAAGTTTAACCAATTATTTATTTTCATTAAAACATATTAATTGACATCGTTCACACCATCTTGCTAAATTTAACAGCAATTTATTGTTTTAATCCAAACTTCAACGTAACGAGTATACAAATTAAGAACAGGGCTGATCTTCATAGAAACATATAATCGGAAAATATGGCATTAAAACATAAACACTTTCAAACACAACATTTTTAACTCAATAAATATAAGTAAACATTATAAGTCAATAAATAAAATAAGATATAAAAACGAAGTCTATTCTAATCTCCATTTTAAAAGAAACACATAAACACAAGTAATTTATTTTTTACTGAAAAAGAAAATCGGGATTTTGAAAAGCACGTATATATCAAGTTGTACAAATGACATACGATATGCCTAACCTATACTATACGCTCTTAATACCTCTTGGTTTAGCTTCACAGGTCACCGTCGGTTTCAAAAAGCTAATGACGTTCAAAACGATAAACGTTTAGCATCAGTATTTACTATACGCATCATAAAATAGCGCTCCACACAGCGGCAATACAAGAAAACAAAACTAAAAGCCCCATTCTGCCCAATGTATTTTTTACAGAATATCTTCACTATAATTATAAGCACTAACATTAAGATTACCTATAAATATATAAATCTCTGAAACTAATGATTGAGTCATTGTTGGGTCCGAGTTGGTCGTGCTTGGGTCCGAGTTGGTAGTGGGTCCGAGTTAGTAGTGGGTCCGAGTTGGTCGTGGGTCCGAGTTGGTCGTGGGTCCGAGTTGGTAGTGGGTCCGAGTTGGTAGTGGATCCGAGTTGGCGTGGGTCCGAGTTGGCATGGGTCCGACTTGGCATGGGTCCGACTTGGTTTGGGTCCGAGTTGACCTGATACCCTTGCAAGTTGCAGTTGCTTGCGTGAGCGCCCCCTTGGGCCTTTGTGCTTTAGAAATTAGAGTGTAGAAATGTCTTTGTAGACTGTTTCTCGCCCCCTAAAAATATGAGGACCGGTAGCTAGCTCCCGTTTAAAGCCATTGATTGGGTCACCTCTGATCACTGTTCAACTTTGGGCATGGACGGTAGGGCCTATTCATGGTACAATACTATTAAGGCCAAAAAAAACCCCGAAGTGGCTATCGTTACGGCAGCTGTTGTTTAGCGCCCTCTACGATACTTTTTTGATACGCACACAGGTATATAATTATTTGTTTCCCCACGTTGTAGCGAGCAGTGCGACAGCTCAGTCGATAGAGGGTAGGTTTTTACACCGCGAGGTTGCAGGTTCGCATCTCAGTTTTGCACTCGAAATTTGTTCCTTTTCTAACCTGAGGCTTTGGAGGATTTTTTTAAAGGGAAATAAAGTCTGAATTTCATAACGTTCAAATTAACTTTTTTCCTTCTAATTTTATATTTTCTACTCATGTTTTTATACAAGTTGCAGTACTACCGTAACGATAGAAAATGGGAAATGCGTTACGGCTGCCGTAATGATAGCCACTGCGAAAAAAAAAACGTCTCTGGTTTCGGGTATGCGTGCGCGCCGCCGTAGCCATGAGAGTTTAAGGGGATCTAAGTGTCATCTGCAACATCAGCCGACATTTGAAGACAAAAAAAGAAGGTTAAAAAAAAAAGAACCCGCGTCGCCACACCTCTTTTGGGGCAAGCTACATACCAGAAACCGGAGCCTTTTTTTTTTGCCTTAAGTATTTATTATCTGGTTCAAAGTATTTGTTATTTTCCATCTAACAATAGCCCCTCTTTGAAGTGATCTGTCCTGCTTCAAGAGGAACATCCATTCCTACCTTCAGTTTTCCTGAGAATCTTCATTTTATTTCTCTTGTACCTTGAGAAGCTTTTAGCATTGTTCAGGGCAGATATGCATTTAAAAAAGTGTTCCAAGGCATTTTTTGTTAACATATCAGATTCAAATATTCTGTTATCCCTTTTGCAGTGTTTAATTGCAATGAAGCGGCCGCTCCCAAACCACCCGATTTTGGCAGTCGCTACCACGCCACTGGCTTTGTGCAACTGCCTTATGCTGAGCTCAATGAGCCTTTTGAGATCTACTTTGATGGGAAGAATGGAATGGGAAGGATAGACTTTTACGGCGGTTAGTATCATTCATCCTTTTTAATTTTAACTATTTATTAAAGAAAGTGTTTTAAATTATGGCATTCTAATACAAATTACGATATGTAAGAATTAATTATAGGCAAAAGTCCCTTGTTTACATTGTGCATGCCAAAACTTGTTCATCCATTTCCAAAAAAATTCTCTTTAATTTGTAAGTCACTTGCAACAGAGTATTTTATTTAGTCCCGCCTCATTGATGATTGCACCAATCGTAGCTGTGATCAGTATGCGACAGAAGTCTGACGTGCATACGACGCGCACATCTAGGAACATGAAGTTTAGCTTGGTGCAGCATTGTAGCTCGGTGAACTTGTTGTTGCCCACATGCAAAGTGATGGAGCCTTCAAAGTGGGCGGGGCCTATACAGTGGATGGAGCCTGCACGGGGGCGGAGCCTGCACAGTGGGCGATGCCTGACCTGTGGGCTGAGCCTGAACAGTGGGTGGAGCCTACACAGTGGACAGAGCCTGCACAGGGGCGGAGCCTGCACAGTGGGTGGGGCATGCACATTTGGTGGAGCCTGCACAGTGGATGGAGCCTGAACAGTGGATGGAGCCTGCACAGCGGGCGGAGCCTGCACAGTGGGTGGGGCATGCACATTGGGTGGAGCCTGAACAGTGGATGGAGCCTGCACAGCGGGCGGGGCCTGCATAGTGGGCGAGGCCTGCACAGTGGGCGAGGCCTGCACAGTGGGCGGAGCCTGCACAGTGGGCGGAGCCTGCACAGTGGGCGGAGCCTGCACAGTGGGCGGAGCCTGCACAATGGGCAGAGCCTGCACAATGGGCAGAGCCTAATAATCACTTAATTTGTATTTTAATATCCTAGGCATGGATCAGGCATTCTACAACGGCAGCATGAAGCCCTATGGCGTTGCCTACGAGGTTTATCCGTGGGTGAAAACTAAGACCAGCATCGTACCAGTTATGCATTGCTCCACAATGCCTGGGGAGAAAGGCAGTCCTGTCATGCCACAAAGCATGCTGCCAGACCTCACAAACTTTAAGGTAGGTCTGCAATAAATAAGTTACATTTTTTATAATGTCTGTTATAAATATTAGTTGACTATGTGGAACCAGACCACGGGGCCCTATAGGGTGAGTAAAAAAACACGAAACCCAAATGTCAGGACTATTTTTTTAGTGAAGTTCTGCATGTAGCACTTTCAAAATCTAGGATGTAAAAACCCAATTCATAAGCTTTCTTTAATTAAAAGAATCATTCATATCACTCGTGTACTTTTCAAGTTACAGAGTTTTAAACACAACCACCATTTTAAAGTTCTGTCCACGGATCACAAAAAAAGGTGTGCGTTCTTTCAGCAAAACAAAAACAATTCACACACATCCCTATGTCACGCGCATCAAAAAGTACAACAGGAAGCCAGGACCAAGGAGTTTCATGAAGATGTTTTGACCATCGTTTGACTAGAGGAGTTCGCATGTTGCTATTAGTGCGCAGGCGTAAGTTACGTCACAAATCAACCGATAGTCGACTAATGGTCCTTACCCTAATTTGCTCATAGATGTTGGTATTATACCTAGGGACTACGACCCCCAAAATTACAGCCATGGGCACAGTGTGCAAGTAACTCTTAACCCTAAAAGGGCCGGGGGGGGGGGGGGGTCAGAATCCGCCCCCCCCTCCACTTTTTCCGCGATAGCCTTGAAAAAAAAATTTCGCGACCCGAGCTGTTATGACTTTTTAGCCTCGAGCCTTGCGCATCTTTTGATACCAAGAACATCGAAACATTTTCCAGCGCTATGCGCCGTGAAAACTGAATTTTCCCATATATATTTGTACATATCATTAGTTAATTAGCCATAATTCCAGAACCCTTTGACCTATAGTCGTAAACTTTCTTGAGTATGTTCATGATGAATTGCTCTATGCATGTACCAAGTATTAAACTGTTTTCGTCACTCGATGGCCAAGATCTTGGGGGGGGGGGCAGAATCCAATGTCCCGATTATACCGAATATTCAAATACTTGATCATCTATCGGATATTCAAATAGCTTTTTGCCAGTTTGAATATTCGAAAAAAGAGAAAACTACGCGTTTGACTGTGGAGTCATTTTATTTGTAAAATTGCGGTTTTTTTGTCAGATGATACTTTTTTGTTGACAGTAACTTTCTTGTCGACACGTACTTGCATTTATTGGTCCCATTCTTTTAGCAAGCTAAATGAGTCGTTTGTCGGGAACTTTCATTTGGAGATTCAGGCCAAAATAGGGCCACTTTATCACATCACTTCATCACATCTCTCGGTGTTACGATATCCATAATTTTTTAACCAAAGATGGTATCAGCATGCGGTTTTCACATCAGTAATGCTGAGATTGTGCTCTTTTCAAAACTGTAAGAAAATTTTTTACCAGGGTCGACAAATGACTCATTTAGCTTGATCGCATCACAATTGTAAAACACTCCAGCGTTCAATAATATCCATCACCGTGCAATTTTTAATCGGCGCCCTTTGTATGCAACTTTTGTCCAGCTAGGAAGGCAGTTTTAACTGGCGTGTGTAAAACTTGATCAGCTAGTTTCAAATATTGGAATATTCGGTCAATGGCAGGTTCGAATAATCGAAAACTAAATTATTCCAAATGGACAGCCCTAGAGATTGGCTTATACCAAACACTGAGAATCATTTAAAGTTAAAACTAATAAATATTTTTGAAAACTCATCAGATGGATGGTCAGGAACTTATCGACGGACGGATGACGGATGTATGGATGAATGTCACCAACGTCGGCACTGCCAAGGTTAATAAGTACATGTTCTACGTGTCGCGGGGTTCAAACGTCGTGCCTGTCCGCTACGAGATGATGGGGTTGGACACTCTGCTGGGCTCGCATTACGACAAGTACGTCATTGAGTACACCATGTTTGACAACACCACTGTCTTCAAACAGAGCGTGTTTACTCCTCCGACAGGTAACTTTCTTGGGAAAACAAAAAAATAACTAGAAATGTGTTTGTGTCTATCACATGTCCATCCCAAGTCCATCCCAAATCCATCCCAAGTCGATCCCAAGTCCATCCCAAGTCCATCCCAAGTCTGTCCCAAGTCCGTCCCAAGTCCATCACAAGTCCATCCCAAGTCCGTCCCAAGTCCGTCCCAAGTCCATCACAAGTCCATCCCAAGTTCATCCCAAGTCCATCCCAAGTCCATCACAATTCCATCACAAGTCCATCACAAGTCCATCCCAAGTCCATCCCAAGTCCATCCCGAGTCCATCCCAAGTCCATCCCAAGTCCATCCCAAGTCCATCTCAAGTCCATCACAAGCCCATCACATGTCCATCACAAGTCCATCTCAAGTCCGTCCCAAGTCCATCCCAAGTCCATCACAAGCCCATCACATGTCCATCACAAGTCCATCCCAAGTCCATCCCAAGTCCATCCCAAGTCCATCCCAAGTCCATCCCAAGTCCATCCAAAGTCCATCTCAAGTCCATCTCAAGTCCGTCACAAGCCCATCACATGTCCATCACAAGTCCATCCCAAGTCCGTCCAAAGGCCTTCCCAAGTCCATCCCAACTCCATCACAAGCCCATCACAAGTCCATCCCAAGTCCATCCCAAGTCTATCACAAGTCCATCCCAAGTCCATCCCAAGTCTGTCCCAAGTCCGTCCCAAGTCCATCACAAGTCCATCCCAAGTCCGTCCCAAGTCCGTCCCAAGTCCATCACAAGTCCATCCCAAGTTCATCCCAAGTCCATCCCAAGTCCATCACAATTCCATCACAAGTCCATCACAAGTCCATCCCAAGTCCATCCCAAGTCCATCCCGAGTCCATCCCAAGTCCATCCCAAGTCCATCCCAAGTCCATCTCAAGTCCATCACAAGCCCATCACATGTCCATCACAAGTCCATCTCAAGTCCGTCCCAAGTCCATCCCAAGTCCATCACAAGCCCATCACATGTCCATCACAAGTCCATCCCAAGTCCATCCCAAGTCCATCCCAAGTCCATCCCAAGTCCATCCCAAGTCCATCCAAAGTCCATCCCAAGTCCATCTCAAGTCCGTCACAAGCCCATCACATGTCCATCACAAGTCCATCCCAAGTCCGTCCAAAGGCCTTCCCAAGTCCATCCCAACTCCATCACAAGCCCATCACAAGTCCATCCCAAGTCCATCCCAAGTCTATCGCAAGTCCAGTCCCAAATGCATTCCTTTGTCATTGTTCATCCCGTTGCTTTTGAAAGGACTAATGATGGACTTGAATACAGCACTGACACTTCAAAACAAGTCAGGCAATTTTTGTTTTCCGACCAAAATGCAGAGTGCAGCAAGACCTTAGCTTACGGTTCGGAGAATCACATCCGGGTCAACCCATACCAGGAGCTGTTCAACCCAGAGCTGGGAGACCGCTATCATGAGATGTTCAATGAGTACAAGGCCGAACACGGCAAGGTGTATGTCGATGATGCAGAGCATGAGAAGAGAAAGGTCCAGTTTACCCACAATGTCAGGTGAGGAAACTGCGGTCTTATTACCCCTCAGCTGAGAGGCTCGAGGGGTATTGTCATCGCCTAGGGCGTCCGTCCGGGCAGCTTAGTTTTCCGGATGATAACTTGAGTTAGAAATGTTGTTTGGGATTGTAACTTCGGTAGGGGGTTGCCCTTGGGAGTAGGCAAGTTGGGATTGGTTTTGAGGTCAAAAGGTCAAAGGTCAAGGTCACCGTGGTGAGTTAAAGATAAATGGTTTCCGGATGATAACTTCAGTTAGAAATCAGATTTTGGTGTCAAACTTTGGTAGGGGGTTGCCCTTGGGAGAGGGCAAGTTGGGATTGGTTTTGGGGTCAAAAGGTCAAAGGTCAAGGTCAGTGTGGTGAGTTAAAGGTAAATGGTTTCCGGATGATAACTTCAGTTAGAAATCAGATTTTGGTGTCAAACTTTGGTAGGGGGTAATTGCCCTTGAGAGTAGGCAAGTTGGGATTGGTTTTGGGGTCAAAAGGTCAAAGGTCAAGGTCACCATGGTGAGTTCAATGTAAATGGTTTCCGGATGATAACTTGAGTTAGAAATGAGATTTTGGTGTCTAACTTTGGTAGAGGGTTGCCCTTGGGAGTAGGCAAGTTGGGATTGCATGGTTTTGGGGTCAAAAGGTCAAAGGTCAAGGCCAGCATGGTGAGTTCAATGTAAATGGTTTCCGGATGATAACTTGAGTTAGAAATGAGATTTTGGTGTCTAACTTTGGTAGAGGGTTGCCCTTGGGAGTAGGCAAGTTGGGATTGCATGGTTTTGGGGTCAAAAGGTCAAAGGTCAAGGCCAGCATGGTGAGTTTAAAGGTAAATGGTTTCCGGATGGTAACTTGAGTTAGAAATGAAATTTCGGTGTCTAACTTCGGTAGGGGGCTTCCCCATTGGTACAGGCATGTTGGGACTGCATGGTTCTGGGGTCAAAGGCCAAAGGTCAAGGTCACCATGTTCAGTTAAAGGTTAATGGTTTCAGGATGATAACTTGACTCTGGCTGAGGGGTTTCAACAGCAACGCTGTTATTTTTTAATTTTCCTGTAAATAAAAACAATTTGATCACTACTAATTTAAACCATCATCGTTGATATGATGAAACAAATGTGTATTAGATGACAGCACATGTAAACATGTTGCACATGTTTTCAGCATGCTGACGAGGAGTTTATTTCTGAAACGTGATATATCCATTTGAAAACTGGATGTGGGTTTGTGGGTTTGAACATTGACGGGGAACACGGTGCTTGTGTTCTTGGGCAAGACACTTTACTACGATTGCATCTCTCCACCCAGGAGTATAAATGGGTACCTTTGAGGATAGAGACTAGAATGCACTGATCTCGAGCTGCTGCAAAAAACTGGTCTCATGGCCTGATTCTAAGAATTCCCTGGTTAATTTGATATAGCCACACTTTGACTGGAAGTGATTGTTATGCCAGCTGTACTTACCAGCTACCTCTTTTGTCTGTTGATGGAATTTGACTAGTCACTGTGTTTACGCGAATGTGATCTGACTGTTTTTTGACTAGTCTGAATACAAATGCACGGCAAGGGAAGTGGAAGAATTTTTTGACTGTCTGTGAACAATCAAACAATAGGAGAGAAAATATTAACAATTTTGCATCGTATCTCAACTTAAAATATGATTTTTTGGCAGACTTATCCATGGCAACAACCGTCAGGGTCTTAGCTACAGCCTGGCCGTAAACCACCTCGCAGATCGCTTCGACGATGAGCTGCGCATGATGCGCGGCCGACGCCCCTCAAAGGGACCCGTAGGCGGGGCGCCCTTCACCATGGAAGATTTCAAGATCATGGATCCCCCGACGTCATTGGACTGGCGACTGAGTGGTACGTTTGTGGATTCAAATAGAATTTTCATTATAATGCTTCCTTTCTTTTTGGAGTGGGGGATTTCAAGTAGAAGAAAAAAACTTAATAGTATTTTTTTATTATTTTATTCATGCCATGAAAATTCACACCACCCAACTGGGCATAGGTGAGTCAAAAGCAACATAGTTACTATGGTACTACCCACAGATGGGAGTGCACATTAAAAAAACTAATCTCACTATAATCCTAGGAATCTCTGTGTGTCTGTCTGTCTGTACTTTAATTATCTCCAGAACCGGGCACTGAATGAAGCTGAAAATTGGCGGCTGTATTGCTCAGGACCCAATGTGCGGTGTCAAGTTTGAAGTTGTTTGGATGAGCGGTTCTCAAAAAAGCTGCAAGCAGCATTTTCGGAGGCCTACACCAGTGCAAACGTGGATGTACAGACCGCGCCACGCACTTCTGCACATTTTGAACAGGCGCTGTACTCTATACCGTGCCACGGGTCCCCACACGTTCAAATTGTGGTTGGCTGTATGGGCTCGACTATTTCTTGAAGGGGGATAGTTCGCGCACAGCGAGGTGGGCCTCGACCATTGTTTGTAGGGCACGATCGCACAACGGTGACGTGTAGATATGGCGCGCTGTTATACGGGCACTGCACTCTATACCGCCATGATTGCGGGTCTACCAGAGGCCAAGCAATTTGCTTGTTTTGAACAGGCACATTTTAAACGGTCACTGCACTAGTAACAATTGTTTAAAATCCCTGCTCACTTGTTTTGTGTGGTTAAGCTAAGCATGCAGATTTGGTCATATTCCACTGCTCTCCACAGAGCTGTTTTTGTGCAGTCACTCTCTGTGTGACATGGTTACTTAACACTTCATATCCCTTCACATGAAACTGACCTGCAAGGTTTAAAAGTGTTGAAAATTGACTTCACACTAAATCTGGATATTCTTTTGTTGTGTCCAGGAGCTGTATCGCAGGTCAAGGACCAGGCTATCTGTGGCTCGTGCTGGAGTTTTGGAGCTGCCGAGGCTATAGAGGGCGCTTACTTCATGAAGGTAAGACTGAAGTTAAGATGATGAATGATTCACTAAGCCGGGGTGTGCATTGAACAACAATAGGCACAATGGCCAATTTACGATCCTTGAACACACCGTTTGCTTCCACTTCACGGACTTGGTGTGTGTGTACAAAAGGCACAAGGGATTAGCAAGTTAAGACGTCACCCGGAGGCGAGTCGGGGCAATCTTGACGTCTTAACCCGTCAGCCGTGCCTGATGATCAAAACAGCTAGTGCGTGTTATCACGTCCTCTGACGTGAACTGGTTAAATAAAAGGCAAAATCACCTCATGGTAAACCAGACGACTTCCAGAAGAGCCGTTCTGAATCAGTTGAACAGAACAAAAATTGAATTTACTAGGCTTGCTAATAGTTTTTCTCGCGTTCCTTCTCCTGTAGAACAAGAAAATGGTGCGATTCTCCCAGCAGAACCTGATGGACTGCTCCTGGGGCTATGGGAATGACGCATGCAATGGCGGGGACGAGACCCTGGCTTACCAGTGGGTCATCGACCACAAGGGATTGATGACTGAAGAAGCTTACGGACCGTACCTAGGCCAGGTAAAACGTCCCTAAAGTGCGATTCATACCTCATGTCACAGTAGTAAAGTCTGTCACGAGCCAATGTGGCCCATCAGCCCAACATAAATCTCCCGTTTCAGTAGCATAAAACGACTGAAAATATTTCTATTCCCCCTGGATGGGATGCTAGTCCATCGCAGGTTACTCCCCAGCTAATGCCGGTACCCATTTACACTCCTGGGTGGAGAGAGGCAAGTGGGGTGAAGTGGCTTGCCCAAGGACACAACATATGGCCAGCGGCTGGATTCACCTTCATGTTAAGGCAACAGCAAATTTTGAGTTTGTGAAATTCTGATGAAATTTGTATTCATCTTTTAGCAAAGTTTCTTTTTTTAAAGTTTACAAAATAAAAAAAAGTACAGCTTACAATTGTACAAAACTGAGATTTTAATCATTGAAATCAAGACTGAAACATTATTTTTACTGTCAGATTGTTTGTTTTGAATATGAGGAACAGGTCAACTCCTTTTTTTGAATTCTTGATTGCAATTATTGTATGTTTTCCTTTGCAAGTTCTGGTTCATTCATCGAGGTGGGAAATGTCCATGCTTCATTGTACTCAATGGGTATTTGTCAGTTCGTAGAACGGTATTAAGATCAGTGGTGGACTGCCACCAGTTTTGTGATCTTTTTATTGAAATAGACATAACTTGGGAATAGAGTATGCAAATTACATGAAATTGTCAGTTAAAATGTCAGTAAGATACTTTATCCCTCTTTGTTTTATGAAATGGTGCAGGCCAAATATTTTTTGAAAATATTTTTCAAATTCGGTCATGTTCTTTTTGACTCAACCTGTATTGCAAAAGTTTAGTCATATCACCACGTGACTCGTGAAAATCTAGTCTCCGTTTTCAAAATCCCTTTAATTTTCTGGATAGGACGGAAAATGCCACTTCAATGCAAGCAATGTCGGCGTGAAGATAGCAAACTTCACACAGGTGAAGTCTGGTAACCTGACTGCTCTCAAGATGGCCCTGGTCAATGTCGGTCCTGTTGCCGTGGGGATAGATGCAGCTCTGAAGACGTTCTCGTTCTATGCCTCCGGCGTATACTACGACAAAGCCTGTGGTGAGTATATACCCATTAAAGGTAGAGTAGATCATTTGCAGCTATCCAAAAAGTAACTGACGAAATTACTGTTGAAAAGCTCACTTGGTGAAAAGATAGTAATGGCGCTAAACTCCCTGTGAAATTATTCTTTCTGGCATGCTGTCATTTTGAAGAAAACGAAAGAAGGTATTTCCAAAGATGATGCATTTTTTGGAAATTGCCTTCGTTTTTTAATTCGGCGAAGAATAATGGGTGCGTGCAAGCGTTGACACGACACCCATGCGCCCGGTTGCTATAATGCGTCGGTTCAGTGTGTGAAATTGTGTAGTTGCAATCGGCTGAATGAGAACGTGTCCCAGACGCTGATTTCGGCCGCAATTCAAAACATGACGGCAACTTTTGAATTGAAATCCAGATCATCATGGTGGATTATCAGTTGGCATATTTAGTCGTTCACGTGATATGTTCCACGCATGCGCATTATGGTCATTGACTATACTTGGTTGCATAAAAAATAAATGCCACTGGAGCACTCAAAAGTAGCTAAAAACCGCCCTCACTAGTTCATGCATGGAGCCCATAGCCACTTTTTAAAATTTCCCCAACCCTGAGCGGAAGTCCAGTTGAGACCGGTGACCCTAAACATTCTCATTTGCACTTGCGTAACACAGGAAACAAGCCTGACGACCTGGACCATGCCGTCTTGGCCGTAGGCTACGGTACTATGATGGTCAATAAAACAGAGACTCCGTACTGGATCGTCAAGAACTCCTGGTCTACGTACTGGGGTAACAACGGCTACGTCCTGATGAGCCAGAAGGACAACAACTGCGGCGTGGCTACGGCTGCGACTTACGTCACACTGCCCACGAAATAAAACCGCAGCGTAAAGTTGGCGTGCATTTCGAACTCAATGCTATGGGAAAATCAATGTCGGTAATTTTATGAAATTAAAAAGAAATTTAATCTTTTCAGTACCGTTTGCTTTTTATGTACAGCTGATCACTGTATTCGTTCAAATAGTGAACACTCAATCAATTTGGTTAAGTCGTAAATTCAAGTCTGTCATGTGCCAATGTTTTATCTCCGGTTTCCGTAACATGAAACAACTGAGAATATTTCTATTCCCCCTGGATGGGATGCCAGTCCATCGCAGGTTACTCCCCAGCTAATACCGGTACCCATTTATACTCCTGGGTGGAGAGAGGCAAGTGGGGTGAAGTGGCTTGCCCTAGGACACAATATGGCCAGCAGCTGGATTCGAACCCCTGACCCTCTGATCATGAATCACGAACCCTAACCACTAGGCCACGCTCCTCCAACTATTTACAATGTACCACAAAAGTAATTGGTCTGTCGAATGGTATACTCAACCTCTGCATTTGCCTCACGTTTTGTTTTGTAACAATATTCAAGTCTGAAGTTTCCTACGTCAAGAGGCCTTTGTTAGACGATTCCTTCCACAACAAGAGAATAAAATATTGGTTTTGAAATCTGAATCTTAAATAATTTTGTAGTGTGGGCTTTGTCAAAGATCTTGTGGAATACATGCACGTACATGGCAAAAAAAAAATCTATTGTAAACTAGCTACGGTACTGAAAAGAGTAAGTACTACGGTATCTACACCAACATTTTGTGAACACAAGATGATTCCAGTAATATTAGATTTATATTTTAATACACAGATTGGTGGATTGTTAGGGAAATGTGATTCCTTTTGTACGTATTAAACAATCAGAAATAAAATGTATATTTGATGGAATGTCAAAAGCTTTCTCTGCCAAACAATAAAATAATCAGAGTCAACCCTCCTGCTATTTAAGCAGTCACAGACAGTCAAAATGTCCACCCACTTCCCCTGCTATACTCTGAACACAGACTAGTCACCAGCAGTCAGATCATATGTCAATCAAGCACTGTGACCAGTCAAACTCAGTCAACAGACCATGAACAGACAAAGCAGGCAGGCTGGGGGTACAGCTTGCTAATCAATCACCCACAGTCAAAGCAAAGCTGTATCAAGTTACAATGTACATAAACAGTCCCAGCCAGTCAATCCTGCTGTATATAGGCTGGGAATTCTTAACTGTTGAAAACAGTCACTTGATTAATTTTGACTGGAATGCCAACTTGGAACGGACTGTATGTTTGCATAGGGGGTTAATGAATACAGCATATAACCTTGATTAAATTCCCATAAATGTACCCTTACAGAGACATTTTTTCATATTAAGTTATACGTTAGGAGACAAGGTTAGATTAAGGAGAAATTTCAATGTCTCCTTAATGTCACAACTCCTTTTTGAAGGCAAAATATGGTGGCAAATAGGCTAGATCGATTGCTCATGGTCCAAAACATACATGTACCAAAATGTGTGGGAGTAGGATAAGGTAAAATGGGGGGGGGGTCATAAAAGTTGAAAATTTGTGTGCACAACCCTATGGGAATGTCTCTCGTCGGAACCATTCTCGGTAATATTTGTGTGTAATGCTTTTTAAATATGCAACGAACCAGTACTATACGATTTTGCATGTATAATTGCTTCGTAATACCATGTAATTTTTGTACCTTTTTTTTTACCCTGAAACCGAATGCTAAATAAAGGAATGTCTTTAACAGTGATACATATTTTGCTTCTACATTTGAAACAGTACTGAATGGCACAAAGTGCCAAAAAAACACTGCGTACTTACATAAATGTCTGCAATTTTTTTTAATTAGAAAAGCTTGTCACAAAAAAGTAATTGATGTAAGAAAAGAAATGATTCAGTTAAAAACGAATCAGTCTATTAAATTGTAGTGAGATTAAAAACATATGAAATTTTGCTAATGATGATGGAATTAAATCATGAAATGTTTTAAAATCTGTGATTTAGTTTGACTTTTGTACGTGTAGTTGGTGTTCACAAATCCGGTAGACTTCAGTTTTGGCAATCTGCCAACTAAAATTCTTGTTCTATTCATTTACATAATGCACATCGTTTTCAACTGAAAACTCTTAACTACACTAAAAATAAATGTATGTTAAAGAATACTTAGTAATTTAACAGACGTATATTTCATTAACCACTTGCCACCAGGATTCTTTTTGGCCCAAAACACCATTTTTGAAAAAGACAAGATCTATCGTCCAAATTTTAAAATTGGTCATCAAACACCACAAATGCTGACTCTTGAGAGTCAGTTGAACAATATTTGATACTTCTCACCGTAACTTCATATTTTGCAACATGCCAAGGCCCTGCCATGGAGTGATATTTGCTACGACGATAGGCTGTGTACGGCGACCAATTTCAAGTTCAAAGCATGGTGTGCACAAAACCAATGGGACCACTAACGTGTCACGTCCACCTCCAGAGACTCGGGGAAAGCTTGACGATTTTAACCCATCACCTGCCCCTGCAAATATACGGGTACACTGTCGGATCGTGTTTACACGTCCACTGGCGTTGATTATATTCCAAGATATAAAACGGGATAAACAATGATAAGAACTGATCGGAATCGCACTTGATATCCTGATGTTTTTTTGCCTGTTCCCAATTTTTTAAATCTCCACTGTGCTTTTACCTGAGAAACAACTGGAAAAGTTTTACAAAATGTCAGACTAAAATCTGTATTGCTCTGCATTTCAAAGGCATTGATACTGTAACATTTTTGCATTGCTTATACATTATGCCAAACTCCACGAAAAAAAACAAAACCACTTAGTTTTTTTATCCGGCCTCACAGTGCCCCTCTTCATCAATATAGGTTTTTAATAGATTTGAAAATCAATTTCTACTTTTTTAAAGGTTTTCCAAGTGCCAAAATCCATGTACGGGCACCTCTTAAGATTTTAGTATACAAAAATATGCAATTTTTCAGCATGAGGTAGCAGAATTTAGGCGAAATGACAGTGTTGTAGTACTCATACTTGGTACTCGTACTCGGCACTCGTACTCGAGTACTTTGTTTAGAGTACTCGTACTCGTACTCGAATGTCAAAGTACTCGTACTCAAAATGACGGTACTCATACTCGGGCAGCAAGTACTCGTACTCGACATGTCGAAATTGTACTCGATCATCAAAGTATTTGTTTCGGGAACAAAATGGTATGACTTACCATGGCCTTATTCTATCAATACTTTCAGTTTGAAATGGTTGATTGGCTTGCGGAGCGATCAAAGTTTGATGATTTTTCTCTGTGCACGTCCAGACAAACACATTTAACAGCCAGCAGTGACTGGGTCGGTATATCGGTCTGACTGGGCCTGGTCCAATTACGCACCATGAACCATTTGCCGTATGGTCGTATTCGGAAATAGAAGTACTCGTACTCGTACTCAGAATACTAGTACTCATACTCGAACTCAGAAGTACTCGTACTCGGTAACCTAAGTACTCGGCAGTACTCTGTACTCGGAAAAAAGTACTCGACTACAACACTGCGAATTGCTTCCCTCAAGTTCTGAAAACACTTGTTACAAAAAATACGGAGGTCTATATTGACAAGGTGGTTAAAGGGAATATACAACATTTGCAAACATCGAAAAATAAAACTACCAAGTTTTTGCGAAATACCTTAATAGGATGTTGGTAAATGACAGTCTAAAGCATCCTGTAAAATTATGGCACCTGGTATACTGTCATTTTCAAGAAAAGTGGTATTTTTGTATCAATTTCCAACGCTGATCGGCCGATCAGCGTTGGAAACAACTGGCTTTTTTTCAAATACTGGCCCCAATTGACCATTGCACTTGTTTGCAATCGATTACAAACCTATGAACGGGTACGAGCCAGCTAGACTGGTTCCCTGACCTTACAATTCCCTAATGTATGTTAACTGCTCTGTTTCTTCTTTTATGGAGTCAGGGAACCAGACTACAGGAAAATGATCGTTTTTCTTGGTTTTTATAGCATTTTCGAACCCAAAACCTCCAAAAAGTCAGTGTAACTATATTTGCTTTATATTTCCAACCCCCCAATTCCATCCATTTCTGAAAATTACAGCAAAAGCAAATGATGTATATTCCCTTTAATTCAGGCGTTACGATAACTGAACTGGGTCAACTTGATTTTAAAATTGTCCTCTTTTTTTTTAAAGTGTAGGCCAGAAAACAATAGAGGATTTATAGGTTTCATGTAAAAAGTTTACTTCAAAATACATATGCTCCTCAGTTGAAATAGAAATTTTTAAAGGTTATATAAAATAGAATTTTGCAGAAAGGTTTTATAAAATAGAAGTTTTTATAGGTTTTAAACGTTTTGCTGTGAGGCCTGAAAATGCTTTAATATAAAATAAGAGACAAACATTTTTCAAAAAATAATCTTCAGCAGCAAGTTTCTTGCAAATGTACACCAAAAATACAATTTTCTTTATCCATTGATTAAATTCTTGTATTGTCTGTTTCGACCAAGCACATTTGGTCGATGGTACCCTGCGCATCGCTGTAGGAGTCTGTTAGAGGGAGCCGATGATGCTTGTTCCCATGGCAACAAGGACAGCAGAAGCCCGCCCTCTGGAGACAGCAGTGCCCTGGTAGACCTGTCAGATTTGATCTGGTGGTTGGAATTTTAAATCAAGGAAGCTTTATTTGGTTCAATTTGTTTTTAACAAAAACTTGAGTTGGTCTTTCCAGATTACGATGCCCAAACATATTCTTGATTCAAAACCAATTACTTATGAAGTCAAACAGCAAATTTCAAAAATATTTTTTTAATGGTGTTTTGATCAATTGTATTTTTATTATTACTTGATGTTATTTCCATCTCAAGGCAAAAAGTATTTTTTTTAAATGCACTCGAATTGTTCACCATACGATCCGAAGACACCTCTCCTAAAAACAATATTTATACATTCAATATAAAGTTTTTTTATTCAGTCCAAGCAAATTTTTGTGCTTAGCAGCGCCGTGAAATTGGGCCCAGATGAGTCTTTTATCCTTGTGTAGAGGATCCGTGACTAGAGTCACAACTTACTTTTTCTTCAGTGCTGCTGAGATTTGCTCCAGTGATCGATTCTTTGTCTCGGGCACCACGCAGTAGATGAAGACAAACGCTACACTGCATATCAGGCCATACAGCAGGAACGTCCATGACGGACCTATGCCATCTACAAATGTGATAGAGAATTATCATAACACACGGATCATGAAAAATGTCAAAACTAAAACTAAGACAAGTACCGAAATGGTGACAGCATAATGAAGTCCGTCTGGAGTCAATATGGCCCATCAGGCCGGCGTTTATCTCCGGTTTCCTTGGCATGATACAACTTAGAGTATGTCTACTCCCCCTGGATGGGATGCTAGTCCATCGCAGGTTACTCCCCAGATAATACTCCTGGTTGGAGAGAGACAAGTTGGGGTAAAGTACCGGAAGCTTGCCCTAGGACACAACATATGACCAGCAGCTGGATTCGAACCCCTAACCCTCTGATCATGAGACACAACCCATTTATACTCCTGGGTGGAAAGAGGCAAGTGGGGTGAAGTGGCTTGCCCAAGGACACAACGTATGGCTAGCGGCTGGATTCGAACCCCTGACCCTCTAATCATGAGTCACAATCCATTGCAGGTTACTCCTTTAGACAGCCATAACCATTTATGGGTGGAGAGAGGCAGAGTGAATTGAGGTGAAGTGGCTTGCCCAAGGACACAATGTACAGGAACAACAGGATTCGAACCCCTGACCCTCTGATCGTGAGTCACAAACCCTAACCACTAGAACACACTCCAACAGTATAATAAGCCTACATATAGAAAGAATAGCAAAGTCATGGTAGCCTACAAAAGTTGGTTGCATTGCTTGGGGTGGGTAAACATTCTAAAACAATGCAAGGGTAGGGAACCAGTGAAAGCTGTAGATCTAATGCTATGGGCTTGTGCTTACTCATGACGTCCAGGAATGTGAGGGATACCAGTACGTTGGTACCCCAATTGAAGACGGTCGCCAGTGAACTGGCCCTGCCTCGGATACCAACAGGGAAAATTTCGCTCAACACCAGCCAGGTCACTGAAAATAAATCAAAAAGAAAACTTGAAAATGAAACAACCCTTTAAAACTGCAACACCATCATGACCACATCACAAAGCAAAAACGAATCTTGCAAATTTATTTTCAGACCCCTTTTACTCACTCTTCGGTTAACAGAAATTCCCTTCTGTTTCAACAAGGCAATTGAGTAATTCACGTGCAAAGTTTGAGATTTTGCATAAATGTTAGGCGATTTGGCAAAATGAGACGGAATTGGGCACAGGCAGTTGTGGAGTAAACTGCAAGAAAATGAATGGGGTTGATATTTTTTCGATTTTTGACTTGCTCAACAAATTATGGCATAACATTCACAATCAGGTGGCTAAATTGTGGCGTAGCGACTAACAACGACCTATTTTACCAGTGAATCTTGATCGTCGTGGAGCCTAGCATTGCACAATTTATCAAGGTTGATACAAGACACTCACAGCTATGTGTTTGAAGTAAAAGAATTACAATTTTACTTGTGACAGAGTTTTTAGAGTTGCCACACAGTTCCGAAGAATGTCAGACAAAACTATTTTCAAAATGGCGGGCGGAGATGATTCAACGACTGTCACACGCATATAGCCGTCGTAAATACTGTTATAATCCTCGTCCAGGATGTTTACATTATTTAAAACGTTACGCAGCTACGCCAAGTTTCGTGAAATCAATCCTAATTTCACTGCGAAGCTGCACAATAAATTTGTTGCGTTAAGTCCTACGCATGGCATTAGTTACGCACTGTTTTGTGAAATCGGCTGCTGTGATTTCCGTTACACCAAAATACACTCGGACAAAAGACAGAGAACAAGCATAATACTCACCCGGTCCGAAGCCATATGAGTAAGCACCGACATACAGCGTCAGACATATGAATGCCACAATCTGTGCAATGCCCGGGTCTGCTTTAGTTGGTGTAGCGTCCGTATTTCCTGTACCGTTTCCAGTAGCAATGTCTGTACCATTTGTACTAGCAGTCGTAGTAAGACTAGTGACTAAATCTTGATCGACGTCTACATGTTCCGAAGATGGATTTGATGTAGCGAGACTTTCGGGAGTTGCTTCTTGCGTGTTGGAATTCCGTTCTGTTAAACTTTGGGTCAAGGTTTCTGTAGATGACGCACTCGTTGGAGATCGTGTGTGCATTGACGCTGTGCTGAAAGACGACGTGAGCTCTAGAGATTTCAATTTACTAGTTATATCTGGAATGATGATTGTTGCAGACTGCATTACTGGCTGTTCAGTTACTGCAGAAGGTTCAGGGTTCTCATCCCGTTCGACCCTTGACCTTTGCTGGCTAGTCTCCGCTTCAGAGGTATTTTTGCTAAAGGATAAATTTCCTTGTTGCTGTGCACTGAGGACCATGGAGTGGACTTCTGTCGTATTTGGAGCGATGCATGGTCTCTTGGCCTGGACTGGTAGTGAAAACTGGTGAAAAGAACGAATAGCAAAACCCCTGAAGATGATCAGAGCATATTGACTGAAACGTTGAGTAAATACTTATGGTGATTCTAAAATCCATACTTCTATTGTGAAGTTAATCATGGTCAAAAAAAGCAATCTTTTTCTAAGACTTGTTTATATTTAAGAGTAATAATACTACTACTACTACTACTAATAATAATAATAACGGGTTCTTATATAGCGCTTTTAACTAAGATCAAAGCGCTTAATACATTATTTTTTATTACCCCTGATCATTGGGCCAATTAAACATTCCAAATACCATCTCAGCTCCCTGGGGAGTATACAGCTCGATGCTGCCTGTTAGGCGCAAGGAAGCTAATTCAATCACAATAACCATCTCTGCCCTCACAGGTACCCATTTACTCCTGGGTGGGAGAAGCAATGAGTGACAAAGTGCCTTGCCCAATATATTGCATCGGAGTACAAGTTCCGTTACATAAGTTGTAAGTTCCATTATGTAAATTTCTGACCTGGGCAACGATTCCTAAAATGATGATGATGACCGTCATGATGCCTGCACCTACCAGGAGAAAATGCCGTCTGCCTGCTTTGTCAACACAGCACAGACATATGGTTGTTGTTAGCACCTAAAACGAAAATCAAAATGGATTGATGTACGATGGAAAGTTTTCTGACCTGACCTTGAAAAGATTTAAAAGTGAAAACCCAAGCTAGCCCAGCCCAGCCCAAACCCGTCCCAAACCAACCCAACCTCACCCAATCAAACCCAACCAAACCCACCCCAACTCACCCAAACCCAACACAACTGAACCCACCCCAGACCAACCCAATCCAGTCCTGCCCAACCAAACCCAACATCAACCCAACCCAACCCAACCAAGCCTAGCTCAACCAATCTCAAAACAACCTAGCCAAACCCAATCCAACCCAACCGAGCCCAGCCCAGCCCAACCCACCCCAACCCAAAACCCAACCCCATCTCAACCAAACCCAAAACAACCCAGCCCATCCAACCTAACCCAACCCAATCTAACCCAACCCAATCTAACCCAACCCAATCCAACCCAACCAAGCCCAACCCATTCCAATGCAACCCAATCAAATCCATCCAACCCCATCCAGCAATTTTTTCCCCAAACGAGATCAGACAATATCCAAAGAGGGCTCTCTCTCTCTCTCTCTATCTTTTATGCATATTCATGATGTCCAGGGCTTTAGGGAATAAGTTATATAACAAGGTATAATGCTGTTTAAATCACCGACAATTGGCAGCTGATACGTGGACTGGTTGGAAGTAGTCCTGACTTCTAATCAGGTGATCTGAGTTCGAATCCCAGTAAGCGTTTTCACTTCTTCTCATTTTACCTTTTAAATATTTTAAGTGAGGAAGGAACACTTCTCACAAGACGTAAAGCCTGTCTTGGGTTTGAGTTGTGGAGAACAAGGCATTAGATATGCATGTAATAGACCAATCAGAAGATGGGAAACGGATGTCGTTTGGGAAAAAACAATTCGCACCCAGCTCAGCCCAAGGATTGAAAAACAAAGCTTTATACCTTTACTAATCCAAGACCAACTGTTGCCATGGTAGCAGCTGCATCAGTTCCAAAACCAAGAGACTTAAAAATAGTTGGAGCGTAATATAGCACATTGGTTTGGCCTGTGAACTGGACAGAAAAGATACAAAAAATTGACCACGTTTGTTGTTAAGGTGTAAACATGTGTAGAGAAAAAAAAAACAAGCTTCTTAAGTATTCCGATCCCATATGGATGAAAACTCACTCATTTGGTAAAAACAAAAACACTAAAAAGAACTTGAAAGAGAAAAAAAAGTGCGAAAAAAGTGTATCACTTTTTGTTTGTTCTGCTGGAAAAATTGCAGCAGAAAAAAGATAACTTATGAATTTTTGGCCAAAGATAACATCAAACTCTAATGAAAATGTAATTGTAATTTTGACTGCCAAAGTACCTGCTGGAAGAACACAAGGCCAACACCGATGAGAAAGCGCCCTCTCATGTTGTCGACCGTGCTCAGTACATCACAAACCTTGTATTCCTAAAAGTAAAAAAAATAACCAAAAATTGCAATGATTCTTTTAAATTTGAAAACAAGTGTTATCGTAGTCTGTATTCAATAGCCCTTATAGACGTTATGCGGAGCAGCAATCTTAGAGGGCAATGCCTTTGTTTTGTTGGGATATGCATGAGAGAACCTTTTGTGTCTTCATTGTTAATGAATTAAATTAACAAAAGATGCCCTCTAAGATGGCCGCTACACATGAGGTGTAACAACAGAACTTTGCAATTGGAGAAAGAAAGCCAAACGTTTTTGTCATGTGGGTTCTAAACAAAATCTCACAGGACTCCATCAGATAAACAAAAATGGAAAACAAACAAATCTGAGGACAGTCATTTAAACGTAGAGCTATTCAAAAAGTAGCCGACCAAATTATTGTTAGAAAGCTTACTTGGTTTAAAGATAGTAATGACACTAAACTCCCTGTGAAAATATTCCTTCTAGCATGCTGTCATTGTGAAGAAAACAATAACAAAGGGCAATTTCTAAAGGTGTGTCAAGTGACACACTTTTTGGAAATTACCATTAGTAGTTGGTTTGTAACTGGGCAAACCCGTGAATGGGTGCGCGCAAGCCTTAATACGATGCACACACGTGCATGGTTGCTATTATTTGTCGGTTCAATGCGTGACATCTCGTAGCTGTAATTGGCTGAATGAGAACATGTCACAGATGCTGATTTCGGGCACAATTCATAACATGATTTGGCAACTTTGGAATTGAAATCAAGATCCTAGAATATTGTTTTCTACAGCATTCACAGAGCTAAAACTTCATCAGGTTAGTTGTTAAGCACCTGTATTTAGATTTTGAGCACTTTTGTTGTTCACATGAAAAAATGCACGAATGACAAATGGTCTTCTCTACCTTTAGGTAACAAAAGCGTTCTTTATGTTTCCCTTAGAAAATAATAAATAATAAATTCAATGAGGTGTCAGCAATAGATTATGGATCATTTGCATTCTAGAGATCTTTGAGATGCTGCTGTTGTTCAAAGGGATGCATATGAGCAGACTTTTTATGCATTCATTCTTACTGAATTTAGATAATAAATGTGCCTGTTTGGAAGGGGCAAAATTGATTGGTCACTGGTTCTGGTTGCTTGCAGCGTTTTTGAGAACTGCTCATGCAAACAACGCATGCGATTCAATGATGTTGTTTTCACAGGTTGAACGCACACTCACAGGTTGAACGCACATTTTGTTTTTACATGTGGACAGACACACAGAGATTCCACGAATTATAGTAAGAAAAGATGAGGAAGAAAAGTGTGCCATTGTTGATATACTCATTGTTGATAATGGAATAGCCCCCAGTGAAGGTCAGCTGGTTCTATGCACACACTTTTATATGAGACAAATGGAGCTTTTTTGCAGCTTTTTGAGAACCGCTCATCCAAACAACTTCAAACTTGACACTGCACATTCTTGGGTGCTGAGCAATACAACAGCAGATTTTCAACTTCATACAGTGCCTGGTTCTGGAGATAATCGATGTACAGACACACAGAGATCCCTGGAATTATAGTTTAAGATAATACACCTCCAACATGGCCTCTGATGCAAAGTGTCTATATCAGTATGGCGTCCGACACATCCTTACTTACATGTTCTGTGAGCAGTGAATTCCTAATGTTGCTCAGTTCTCCCTCTATCAGCTCAGTCCCTCGCAGTTTCTGTAACACCGTCCGTGCCTGGGTCTCCCTACCCTTCTGCATCAGGAACCGTGGGCTTGGGGGTAGGAGGAACATCCCTACCCCCTGCACCAGAGCTGGGATTATTGACAGGCCAAACATGTACCTCCTGAAAAAGTCAAATTAGGTTTTTTTGCATCATTATTTTGTATTCATAAATACCGAAGACAGTTTACCCATTCCTATTGGTCGAGAGCCCGTCACGTGGCTGGTCTTAAACGGTTGATAAAACACCAGCTGGCTGGTCTTAAACATTTTTTCCAGTGTCACATGAAATTTGGACTCCTATGAAATCTGGTACCTTTCACCCTTTTAATGGTTGGTTGAATGTTCACAATCCTCACTTAGGTATGCCCAATACTATCAATGAGTCCGTATTTCATAATCCTAAATTCACACTACACCGGCACCGCTGCTTTCTGGGCCACATCACACAGTATGCGCCACACGCATGCCAATCTCCATATAAGGAGTTGTTTACGACTAATCGCGAGAGGCGCATACCATAACATACCTGGAGGGGTGTTTAAAAAACATGAAGTAAAATTGTGGAACAACATCTTTGGAATATATAACTTTGACTTGGTTTGTCTTTTTGGCCTGGTAGCCTTTGGCTCGGGCAATTATCAGCATTCATTCCCCAGCCAGTCTTAAAAGGACACGTTTAAAACCGGCCAAGCACATATTTATTCCATTAATAATATTTTTTTTTTTAAGCACAACCAACACACGTATTTAGACCATAACTCAGATGACTTTTTCAGCTGTTTAGCATTATGTAACCAGTTTTATAAAAAATGGACAAAAGTATCATAAAAGATCAAAATTTCAATATCAAGGTGCAGTGCATGCAATTATACATTTTTTCCTTATAAATCATGCATAGTAAAAGTTGCCATTCACAGGGTAAGTTAGAATATTACAGATGTTGGCCTCATAAGCATGATGTCACTACATGCATGATTCATATGTCCATGCACAGCAAGTGATGTTCATTGTAACCATAGTGATAATGTTATTAATGATGATGATGATTGCCGTATCTCGTTTCCTATTGGGAATTTTAAACAACCTCTGAGTTACAACCAATAGCAGTGATGTAGTCGAGTCCTTCACAAGTAACAGTGGATGAACAATAACAAAGGAATGCCTTTGTCAAAGCTCATTTGAATAGCTTGCGATATTTAAATTGGGACTGGAGGATTTGTGATGGATTTCCAACAGCTTCTACTCCATGGGCAGCGTGCACGTTCCTTTACTAACCCCTAGCCGTGTAGAATAAGTAAACGACGCTGATTGACTATTCAGAGAGTACTGCGAACGTATTTCAAAGACTGCACGCCCTATATATGCGCTCAACCCGCGTTGTCATGTCATGTCAACGTATGAAGAGTTTTACGATATGGAGTCTGGAAGCCTTGTTTTTCGCCCAACAAATCTGTATCGTGTGTTGTACAGGGACGACTTAAGTACATTCATTTAAAATACTTGCTCTATAACGCGACGTCTGAATCTCATGTTTGAAAGAATTGATTCTACCGACAAAAGCCTTTCAAAATTTAAAGTGTTGCGTCGAGCAATTAAAACATCAAATGCAATCCTAATTTATATCTAACAAATAGTGGGAGATTTAAATTACACAATTCCAGGGGTTAAACTGGCGCATCAAAAAGCTTTCCCCTAGGGGGACGAGGTTGGACGAGGTTGGACTTGCAGGGACTTGTGATGGACTCGACTACATCTCTGGCCGATAGAAACAGACGGACATATGGTAGATGTTATTTACCATCCTGATGGGACTAAGATAAGGAAATAGTTGACAAGATAAGCGAGGAGTAGGCCCAAGGTTATGCCGACCTCGTTCACACACACCAAGCGACCACGTTGCTTCTGTGGAGGAATGACGAATGAATGAACGACAAATGGAAAAATGCAGAATGAGTGGCAGAATGGAATTGGGCTAAGCCCCGCCCACTGTTGCTCAACTGACCAAAAGTTTTGATCTAATTGGTCGATGCGCATTTGTTCATAAGCCCCGCCCACCTTTGATTTGCATACATTTCTAACAATATTTTCTGAGTTAGATCAGCTACCGTGGTCACCTAACCAAAAGTTGGATCTAATTGGTCAGTGCGGACATTAGCCCCGTCCACGTTTGGTTTACATGCATTTCCAACATTTTTAACTGAGTTGGATCAAGCTACCATGGTCACCTGACCAAAAGTCGTGATCTGATTGGTCAATGCGCACTGTTTGATTGACAGGTACGCTGGGTCTTTTCCAATATTCCAAACATTTTAAAAGATGAAAAATGAAGATGATTTGGCAGAATGAAATCAACTTTTTTATGCTATATTGCAGATCTTACCATGGGCGATATTTCTGAGATATATATACACTCCGCAATGGCCGACAATGATACTGCAAAACCGACAATCAAGCGTCCAATAATCTGAAAGATAGAAGCATTATGCACTGTACAGGGTGAGTCGAAAAGAAAGTGACCAAATTAGAAAAAGTATTTTGAAAATACATGTAACAAGAACAATAACATAGGGGTAAAATGCATGTTATTGACTAGTAACTGTCGAAATTTCACGTAATTTTCATACTCTATTCCCAAGTTATGACTATTTTAATAAAAATATCACAAACTTCAGCTGTCCACCACTGATCATTTACCATTCTACGAACTGATGAATACCCATTAAATAAATGTTTTCCTACCTCCATGAATAAACAAAACGTGCAAAGGAAAACAGACAAAAATCGCCATCAATATTTCGGAAAAAAAAGAGTGGACTTGTTCGTCAAATTCAAAACACAAAATCCAACAGTAAAAATAATGTTTCAGTCTTGACTCAAATGATTAAAATCCCATTTGTATTTGAATGCCTGTGTGTAATCTGTAATTCTCACTCAGCTCAATAGCTTCCAATGGCATTCCATGGACAGCTATAAAAAAAAATTCTTTTAGTAAAAATATGCAGGACTTCTAGCATAGATCAATTTCAGTAATTCTTTTTTTTTCAGATGAGTGGAAGAACATGCTCTTTTAAAACATATTTCTTTCGTGTATGTAATTTGATTGCTTCTTTAGAAAAATAAATCATTAATCCAGGACAATTTCTGTTTGACTTACCTTGTACAGTGATCAATATGATACTAAACTGAGATGACCGAAGATATTTCAAATGCACTCCACATTTTATTTTCACATTCAAATTTTGAACGCAAGCAAGCTTCCCAAATCTTTCAAAATAATTTTTTTTGTCAGTTTAAACCGAAAAATATTTTCATCTTTTCAATAGTACGAAAGTTACTCAATTTTTGAAAGAGAATTCATCAAAATTAAACTTCTGAATTGAACGATTTGATTGTTTGTTTCTGAAGGAATGCCACTTACCAGCACTTCATAGACTGGAGCAATTGCTAGTACAATTGCCCCAGTTATGAATATGACCGTGTTGAGGATGATAGACCAGCGACGCCCAATCCAGTCCACAAAGAAACCTGCCATAAAGAAATTAAAGGTCATTAACAAATCTCAAAATTCAATAAAGTTACGAATAAATATACAACAAAACCAAATTATTTAGATTTCCAGTAATTATAAAATAGTGTTTTGGGTTTGAGGGTAGGGTTAGGGTTTTTATTTTTTATGTTGATAAAAAAAAAATCTGACCACGCCCCTTCAATGAACATAGTCTATGGAATATCCCCTTGCACAGCAAGGGTGTATGATATGCAAGGAGATTTGGCAATTAATTATGCAACACAAGCTGCATCTTGACCTTCATATTCTTACCATTCAGCGGGCACCTTCTATCAGGTCTTCTGTAACCCGTTGTTGTTTTACAAAAAATGGCAGCCAAATGACATATCAACAGCTTAGTCCACATTTCTGATTCGAAATGACGTTACAGTTTCTAAAGTCGACCACAACTGGCTGGCATACGGTCGCATACAATTTGCATACTGGGATATATCAGACATTCGTTGATGTGGCTCTGTTCTTGTTCTATATACCCCTGAGGACCGACACACAAAGGGAGAACAACAGATCCTGTCAGTCCTCGGGAGTTGGGTCTTTTGTTCAAAACGGTCCTCTGTAGTAAGTTTGTGTGCTTAGTCTATGGGAGAGTGTTATATTACAGGGACAGAGGGAAACACAAAGCATTGTCCTCTGGCGTATAGTAAAACAAAAGTGTGTGCATACGTGAAAGTCTGATACTCAGACTACAATCAATACCCCTTACACAAACAAGCAGGCAAAATTTAACCACTTTCATGTTTGACTTTGTGATGTCCATTTCGTGCCTGGGTGCTTCTACATCCCACAGTAATACAGAGAATGATGACGATTTCCCGCTAATCATGTGACTCTTTGGTCAAGAGCGCCCTCATGGTTAACGCACTGACCGTTCACATTGGCTCACCTCCTGACAATGCCCCAATGAGTGCACCAACAAGTAGCAGGCTGACTATCATTTCTTGTTGCTGGCAGTTTAGTTCAAAGTCTTCCTTTAACTGCAGCATGGCACCAGAGACTATACCTGTAACAGGGGAACGATGTTAGCAGACATTCAAATAACTCGGAATGAATTCTCGCTGGTCCCAGAGGGCCCGCCTAGTATCCTCTTTGTACCTATCTGACTGACTGACTGGTCAACTCATTCACCAACTGCAACTTGTGAGCCAGGCAGTGCTATTGTATAGGTTAACCCAGAACACAATGATGGCGTATCCAGCCATTGTGTAGACCACATGCATGAAAAGACCTTCTAGCAATAGCCATTCTGAATCGATTGATTTGAATTGTGTGCGCTCGGGGACCAGCTTTAATATGCATTAAGGAGTGGATGCACATAAAGACGGTTTTAGGAATAAGTAAGGACTAGATCACAAGTCATCACAAGTCCATCACAAGACAATCGCAAGTCCATCACAAGTCCATCACAAGTCAATTAATTACAAGTCATCACAAGTCAATCACAAGTCAATCACAAGTCAATCACAAGTCAATCACAAGTCCATCACAAGCCATAACAAGTCAATCGCAAGTCAATCGCAAGTCCTCCAGTCCTAAGTCAACTCACAAGCCATTCAAATGAACTTTGACAAAGGTAATCCTTGTTAGTTTTTAGGCCACTGTGTAGTGTAGGGCCGGGTGGGCCCCTCTTTAGTTTTGATCAAATAAGAGTCAAGGGTGTTTTTCATCTTCCAAAACAACCTATTTCAATCTAAAGCAGACTTCTCGTAATTCAAATCACATAATTTTCCGAGTAATCTACAGCGGACTTGTCTTAATTCAAATCACATAATTTTTTTTGTAATTTTGAACAGTTTCTTGAGGTATAAAATGCAAATCTTTTCTTACATGCTTTACGGTTGGTGCCATGCAGATCTACGCAGTTTGCGTGTTCACAGTGCGTCGCGGTGATCGCCATCTTTATTTACGTATTGTGTTCTGTCGTCTTCATAGTCCCTAACCCCAAATTTTCCCTCAAAATATCAAACCCTGTCCTCTATCTACGGCATACCTGTTGGTTTGAAATGTCGCTAGTTTGAAATGTCGCTAAGTCCAATAACCTAAACCAAGATTTTTGTTCCCTTATAGGGAACAGGGCCCCACACTACACAATCGCCATTTTCCCTCTTTTTGTGACTGGTCTTGTGAACTGACTTGTGAATTACATACATGTCCTTGTGAAGTAACAGGTCACTTGTGTGATGGACTTGTGATGGACTCAACTACAGCACAGTCCTTGACATGCAAATTAATTTACCAATGTCATAACCGAATAAGATGCCTCCCAGGGCAGCCATGGTTGCAGCTAGTAGGACAAACTTTGTCGTTCCCGCTGGCTGGTGCTCCGCAGAGGTCAGTGACACAAATTCATCCCTGTCGACCTCTTCAACATCTTCTTCCAATTCAGCCATGGATTCCATATTCCTTAAGGTCTCGAGACAAGAATTGGTAAGCCAAATTTAGCACATCATGCCTGCTGGCTTACATTCTGAATATTGAAGAAAAAGAAAACACACTGACGTGACTTGATCAATTTATATTTGCACACAAGACACAATAGACCCAAAACACAATGACGTCTCGCTTTGTTTACATGTGCGCTTTCCTATGAGAGCCAGTTGGGGACGCCAGCCAATAGTGCCCACCTGGCTCCCATAGGAAAGCGCATATGTTAGCAAAGCGTGACGTCATTATGTCTGACTATTGACTAAGGTCTATTGTTGATGTACCCTAACGTGGCGCGGCCCCTAACGTGGCGCACTTTGATTTTTCGCCTGTAGCGCCTAGCTAGAGCAAAAGTTTTAACTGAAATTTCGCAGAAAGTGAAATTTCATCAAGTTCTAAACACTCCCGTTCATAAATCGCGAGTTTATTTACCCGTTACAAAGTTAAAAGAAAAAATTATTTTGGCGTGATTTTCCGATTTTATTTTCAAGTGCAAAGTGAACCCTTTGAAAATGCCCCGAAAAATAAGAAAATAATTTTCTGACAAACATCTGGCTGGGTTTGTAAGTAAAGATAATGATGATTTATCAGAATCTATCAAGTTTACAGAAATTCTTTAAATGTTAATTTGGAATTTTCCGAGATTTATTCAAGTGCGCCACGTTAGGGAACACTCCGCCAATTTGTGCCCAATTTCCGGACGCGACCGTTTTTGCATTTCGGATTAAATTTTATGAAACCGAAATTGTTCACAGAGGTTAAATAGCAAACATTAAAAAGGTAAAAGTACCAGTATTTCACTGCATGAATTCTAGGTTTATCAACAAAGAGGTTTGGCAACACTACACGAGGAAAGTTGGGTAAGCTTCGAAGTGCGCCACGTTAGGGAACACGACTATATAATCAAGAATAACATTTCAGCATGATTTCAGCAAGAATCCAGGCAGAAAATATTCACTATCAATTATCATACTCTCTATCCTACCATATATAGTAAGGAATAGACAAATATCGGAGGTGATAATTCCAACTTTGATGGGAAAAAATAGTCAGGATCCCCCACCGACACCGACACCGTCATTATCGATGGCGTGCCTACTTTCCGGACACTCTGCGATCCTTACCTGTTTTGGAACGACACAAGCTCTAATATTTTACAATATTAAAGACCAAACAAGAAGATTCTGTGTTGACTGTTAACAAAAAAACTACAGCAGTGAGATCCGAGCACTAACCTCATCAGTAACACTGATCGTTGGAGCCTACTTCCTAGGCTAGCTGTGATCTCGATCGATCCTGAAGATCTGTGATGTGTGGTGAATGTTTTTGTTATCGTAGTTCATAGACTCGGTTTCAAGTCGGTAATTAGCTGAATTTTTGTTTGTGCACGACCGTTGCGTCAGGCTCATAATGCGCCGATGGAACTCGGCTGTTGAAGGACTTAAACATCAAGTCTAGTTAGTTTTACGGTGTGCCGTAAACAATGTGTAATAATGCTGTGTACATTATCTGCGTACTTGATTCTTTCGATTTTGTGGTCCGCGACTATTGCTAATATCATTCTCGATTGAAAATTTACATTGTATCAAATCCAGATATTTGCAAATTTTACTTGTTTGGCATCTTTTGACCACTACGACATGCGCACATGGGCTGGGCGTACGTTTTTGTGGGGTTCAATTTTGCACACCACATTAAAGAAAGGTTACCGTAAATAAGCGCTCTTTCCACCTGTCAGCTACACTTTTAACCAATAGGAGCCGGCCTGTACTGCGTGCGCGCGTGACCAACTCATCGGCCGATCGCAAATCGATATCACTCCACGTCAAAAGAAAACAGACCGCTCCGTTTTGTTGCAAGGGTAAATGTGAACAAGATCTTTGAAGTTTTGTCTAGGTGTTGCCAAAAATGATTACTTTGAGGTAAATATTATTGAACCTATTTCAGTTTGCGTTTTAGTTTAAGCACAACGCGGTTGAGAAGTCGGCCGCGGAGGGACACATCTAAACAGCTGAAGTTTTCTCGTCTAAATTGCATAGGCAGCCCAATTACTCACTTTTCGGCTATGTTCTTCAATTCGTGCGAGCTCGCAAGTCATTATTTTAGTCACATATTTTGGGATGAATGGTTGGTGCTAAACTTTTGTCCACAAAAGAGGACATTTTCCTGCGGTTTCTTTGACTGCGTGGAGGTGAAAAACCGTAGTACTTGACCGAGACAATGTGAGTAGTGCTCCAGCAGTGAGACGTAGATTTCTGTCGAGGTTTTCTTTGAGAGAGACGAGCTTCAAAATGTGTTCTCGGGAGAGACGGGCCGTGTACGGGTCACTGGCACAGGGGCCGCCGGTTTGCAGTTTGCTGTTGCCCCTTCGGAATCCGACGCTGACTCGCTGCACTCCGAGTTCTACTTCAATTCTCGGATTTCTCTCATTGTGAGTGACAGTGTGTGGAACACGGAACTTTCGAGCTTCAGTTCCAGTGATTGAATTCGACTTTGTGGTAAATGAACCAAACTGTAAGTTAAAAGCTCTGTAGAACAGAAACATTAATGAACTCGAGTGATCTGTAGAACAGAAACATTAATGAACTCGAGTGAACTTTGTAAAGAATGAACCATTAATTGCCAAACTCCAAGCAAGGTTGCATATTTGCCTGCCGAAACCTCATGAAACTCTGAACAGTATTTTGCTGAAATTCAAAGAACTGAACTAGACCTATGCACCAAAATTGAAATGGACACAAAAGATGATTCTTGAACAGAAACGAGTGATATTTCGACTTTTAACCAAGGAATATTCTCTGTGGAACTTGAGGAATTTATCGGAGGATCTGAGAGATAATGGTTTGTGCTTTTGAATTCAAGATTAATTGGTAAGTCCAAAACCAAATTTCTGAGGTAAGTGAAACATTTGAAGACACTTTTACTAGTATGCATTTGTCAGTTTTGTATCCTTTCCATGATTTCTCTGTCGTGACCAAAAACTTTCCGTTTCCCACATTTTATGGTTCTGCTGAGATTTTCATGACGTATTTGCATAATTTTGTGAATGTCAAATCGGCTGTTTGTTAAAACCCAGTCTGCCCATTGTATACTTGTTAAAATAAGTGATGAGTCTTTATACCTTTAAAAGCTTTCCTTTCTTGGCAAGTGTAGGCAAGATTTATTGATTTTTCTCCACGAAGAATTGTCTGTAGGCCTAGTTGTGTAGCAAATGTATTTGAATAGCGTACAGTTAACACCTGTGAATTCTTCAACAAAAATGTCTTTGAGAAGCGAACAATGTACACCTGACCCCCGGGCAGCAGTATGCAAAGTGTTTGACCTTTCAATATGTATAACATGCAGGGCATTTTGTGAATATTATTCGTAAACATTAAATTAGTCATTGTAAATCGGCACATTGATACACGTTCGCACCTTTTGTTGAATTGAAGTGGACCAAGCTATGTGGGAGGTACGCCTGTTATTCTGCCTTTGTTCCTGTTAGGTTTGCATTCACACTTCCTGAATTATTGACAGATGCCTTGCGTGTATTTCGAAATTCAATATGTAAAGGGCGCCCTCCATGTCTATTATCAAGAAAGAAACCGCGTACTACATGAGGAGTAAAATAGAACATATTTATAATAGTCAAACTTGCAGCTATATAGCCTAGTCGATGGTGAATCTCCTTCACAAAGTTATCTTCTTCATCAAAAGAAAACTTCACAGAATATAATATGTCCAAATTAAGTGATATTATTGAGCAACGAAGATGGCTGCTGTGTCTCCTTCAAGATGATGATTTCTTCATCGGACGAACAAAAATTGCTTGCAACAAAGTCTTCAACTTTTCTACAAGTCTTCCTCATATTCTCCCTCAGCATAATTACTCTGAATATGACTCGTGGACAATATAGGTTTCAAGTTTTGATCTCCTTCGATTAAACTTTTTTTTCCTCTTCGTCCAACAAAGATTAAGCCTCCAAGGATGAACCAAGAGTTGAGCAATTCGATCAACTTTAATCTCCTTCAAATTTCCACCATCATCTTGAACATGAAGTTGTTAAAAACACAAGCTGCAGCCTACACAATTTGCCCAGAAATGAGGTTATGTGTCCACAGTGGAGTCCGGGTGTTGTCATGGATGGGAGGGGGTGTTTGTCATAAATTAAATGCATTGTTTGTTTGGGGGATTTTTTTTTTTAAGAAACTGCTTACAATTAGGATACACAACTCATATTGAGATAAGAGCCCTTAACTTAATTATTGAGATAAAGTAAATGAGATAAAATTTAATATTCTGAATACGCAAACTATAGTAGAAACATAAAGATTGATTATCAATCGATTAATTACATAAGGTTCTATGGGGATGGGCACATTGTGGGGAGAGAATGCGCAGTGCAGCATTGCTCAACATGAAAGCGTTTCAATTCAGCTAGCGCGTGCAGTGAGTTAATGAGTGACTGAGTTATGAGGTTGCTTTGTATATGCCTTGTTTTGAGTGAGTTCCGAGTGAGAAAAAGATATGTGAATGAGTGAGTGACAAATCTTGAGTGTGTCGATATCACGCCGTTTCCAAAATAGATTCGGAAACGAGTATTCGGATTCGAAAATACGTATTCGGAGTCGGTACTTTATCTGAGTAGGCCTACTCAATCGTCGGTTTCGGTGAATCGTATACCGGTTTCAGAGTATCGATTCGATCACTCGAATCGATACCGAGTCTCGTCGTGTCCGTAAAGTGTGAGAGTATAACAGTGATGAGCCAATGTGATGTGCAGTTGTTGGTTGGTGAGTGGTGAGTAGTAAGTGGTGAGTGATGAGTGGTGAGTAATGAGAAGTTAGTGGTGAGTAGTAATTGGTGAGTGATGAGTGGTGAGTGATGAGAAGTTAGTGGTGAGTAATGAGTGGTGAGTGATGAGAAGTTAGTGGTGAGTAGTAATTGGTGAGTGATGAGTGGTGAGTGATGAGTAGTTAGTGGTGAGTGATGAGTGGTGAGTGATGAGAAGTTAGTAGTGAGTGATGAGTGGTAAGTGATGAGAAGTTAGTGGTGAGTGATGAGTGGTGAGTGGTGAGTAGTAATTGGTGAGTGGTGAGTGGAGAGTGATGAGAAGTTAGTGGTGAGTGATGAGTGGTGAGTGATGAGAAGTTAGTGGTGAGTGATGAGAAGTTAGTGGTGAGTGATGAGTGATGAGTGGTGAGTAGTAAGTGTGAGTGATGAGTGGTGAGTAATGAGAAGTTAGTAGATAGTGATGAGTGGTAAGTGATGAGAAGTTAGTGGTGAGTAGTAATTGGTGAGTGATGAGTGGTGAGAAGTTAGTGGTGAGTGATGAGTGCTGAGTGATGAGAAGTTAGTAGTGAGTGATGAGTGATAAGTGATGAGTGGTGAGTGGTGAGTAGTAATTGGTGAGTGATGAGTGGTGAGTGATGAGAAGGTAGTGGTGAGTGATGAGTGGTGAGTGATGAAAAGTTAGAGGTGAGTGGTGAGAGTTGCTAATTAAGCACGCACATGCGACTGCATCCATTGCAATATCAGGCGGCAGCAAAGCGAGCGAAGGGTAGGAGGGGGTTGCTGGGGACTGATTATAAATTACTCATAAAAGAGAATTAAAGTTGCATTTAAAACAAAATGACTAAACTAGGCCCTAAACATACAAGAAAGTATCGGACTTAGATAATGATTAACCAATAATCCATTGTATGTTGGAGCCTTGGATGGGTGGTTGATATTGAAAAAGATGTGTGTTTGAAAGGATAATCCATTGTTGTATCAAATCTGAGCACGGTCGAAGTCTTCAAGAAGTGTGGAGATATATTCCTCAGGGTGCTGCAAGTATGGCAAGAAGCTTCATAGGTTTCTTCTTCACAGAAAAAGTTAAGCACAGCCAGTACTTTGTTCACCATTTTCGCGACTACTTCGACAGAGTATTCGTCCACCAACTTGAGAGAGAATCCCAACGTCTTCATCAAAACAAAATCACCTGTACTCTTCTCAATCGAAAGTCTCCAGATTTCAACCGATTTTTAACTCCATTTTTCCACCCAGCACAGAGGATGGTTTGGAGTATGATAAATACTTCCACGGATCGCCACCTGCCTCATGAGTAATGAGAAACAAGCTCATAAAGAAATATTGAGGAAACATTGGTCGTTGTACGGATGGTTGACACTCAGAAAATGTGGTCTGCGGTAATCGATAGTTCCCATTCTGTCTCATGCGCGGAATTCTCCACAAAGTGAAAAGTTTTTAAAGGCAAGAGATTTTCAGCACCACTATGATCATGCATGCTTTCACATCATTGCTTCATGAATTTAAAGATCCATCCTCAGTATGATCGATTGCCACAAAAAGGAT